AACATACCATTTTGGGAAGTTTTGCATACTGCTGAATACGAGTTTGGACGGACCTCTGAAAGTCGTGATCCGGGAAGACTTCAGTCACAAGGTTTCTGTCAAATGCCTCCTGAGCTGTGATTTTCTTGTTAAACAACAGTAGTTCACTGGCCTAGAATCAATAAAATAATGTACTGTAGGATAAGCGCATATCAAATTTTACCTCTAGAATTAAAATTCAAGTACAATTTTAGACTATTCTGACATTATCTTTACAGAAAATGCCCTGTATAATAGGAATATCTAGCAATCATCTATTTTGGCATTTAAAGCCATGGTATTTGTATTGCTAAAAATAAACGTTGCTAATAATTCCATCACAAATGTTATATAAGAGAATAAATAGAGTTATCCCTAAAATGGCCAAAAATTTCCTAATAATAATTGACCAAATTTGGGATAAAATTACTAACTTTGCAAGGTGCTAAAATAACTCATTATATTGTATATAAAAGCATACACAATTATCTTATTTTGTATTAATTGGCTACAAAATTCTGTGTGCATTAAACTTACTTTTGCTGCACCCATCATTCTGGGAAATGTGTAAGAACTGCAACCTTCTGGTGACTGGCCAAGATTTGAGAATGGGGTGTGAAATGTAGCCTAATGAAATCCACAATAAAGCATTGTGATTATTAAAGAACAGTTAGGATAGTTGTAATGTGCTTATTTTTTATGTTCAGTATGAAATACTCTTAAGAAATCATCTAAAGCACAAATTCTTTAAATCCTCAAAAGATGAATCCCATTTTATAGTCAATCCACTAGAATGTGCTCAAAAGTAGAAAAGTTTTAAATTGAATACCTTGTCTGTGGCATACACTGCATCAAAGAGACCCAGCACAGTAACTGACACCCCCAAAGCTGGTCCATTTATGACACCAATCAGAGGTTTAGGAAAATCAATGAAAGCAGAAACAAACCTCCTGAAATTTAATAGCATGCATTGAAAGAGGGATAAGAAACCACTTGGTTTGCAGTATTCACAATTTGAAACATAGGTAATCAAAGATTACAAAGCATGCCTCAATGAATGTTATCTATGAGGCAAAAAAAAAAAAAATAAATCTCACACCAAAGAATGTTCTGGTAGTGTGCTACTAGACGCAACATTTATGGTAGTTTGGTCTGGGTAGGATTTTTAGTAACTTGGGAATGGACTTGCTCCACAAACTGTTCAATTTACCGGAAAATGTAATTAAGAATCAGCATCCGAAGTACGAATTCGAGGTTGTATCGGTATACCGGTATATCATGATTTTTTATTTGCGCGATGTGATACGGAGACTAAGATATTGGTATTTAGTGTGTGATTATAAATTCCAGAAATAAATAAGTTTTTTGTTCAACTTTTGAATTACATGTACAACTACTGGAATTGAAAAAAAATGTTGTAAAACAGTAAAACAACAGCATCCTAGCATCCAAACAAATGCTTTATAAATATATTAATAAAAATTTTAAAAAGTGAAGTTATGATTTCACAATACATGTATATTTCTTAGAAAAATTGTGAAAATTCTTTTGAAATCAAAGTAAACATTGCATGTAAAATATCATGATATTTATATCATGATATTTTGGGGGAAAATCAAAATATATTGTGGGGAAAATCATAACATATTGCGATACAAATTTTTTGGCAATACTCATCCCTAATCCGAAGCAAGTCTGGCAGTGTAAATTCCTTGATGCATCATTCAGGCAAGTTTGGTCAGCATAGGGCTTATTCTAACTTAAAGTAACTTGGAAATTAATCTCTTCCAACATCTTTAATCTGGTCATTCATCCAGAAAATGAATTTCAGATCCAGCATCCAAAGCAAGTCTGGAAGCTTTCATCCCTGGATGAATCATTTGTGCAAGTTTGGTCCAGGTAGGGCTTATATACTATATTACTTGTGAATGGACCTGATTTAAAAACTATTGCCTGATCACTCATCTGAAAAATGTAGGTCAGATCTAGTAGTGTGCATCCCTAGATGCATCATCAATTCAAGTTTAGTCACCATAAGGCTTATAGATACTTGGGAATGGACCTGCTCTTAAAACTTTAAACTGTTCAGCTACATGGTAAGTGTACATGAGTTCTTTTGTAAAATGGGCCCACAGCATCCCAAGCAAGTCTGGTTGTGTGCATCCCTAGATGCATCATCCATGCAAGTTTATTCACCATTAGGCCTAGAGTTTATCAGGAAAGGCCTTCTCTAAAATTACATAAAAAATGTAGATCCCTGAACACAAAGAGACATGTGACTAAACTAGTATACAAACTGGCAATCAATAAACCAACTTAACAAATGAGACCAATGACTCTCAAAATTTTTACTTAAGTATTATTCCACCCTCTTCTTCAAGACTTGCACACCGTCAGAAGGGATATTTAGTACTCACTCTAATATTATTCCACCCTCTTCTGCCATGGCTTGCACGCCATCAGGGGGAATATCCATAAAATTTCCAAGATCATTTCCACTGCAATAGAAATCTCCTGTACCTGAAAAAACACACATAAATGTTTATCACCTCCTATACACATATCACTTTAATACAGCAAGTGCCAATATAAATATCTATTTTTCTGCTAAAGATACAAAACAACAAAAGACTCATGGACCACAACATTCACAACACAGGTGGCTATACTTAAAATATACAACAGACAAACTCTGACAAGATCAGCACAGGATATGTATCACCTTTTTCATGGGTTGTAATGCTACATGCAAGTTAATAAGAAAAGAAAACATTGTAAATAAACTATCACATTCATACATTAAGGACCTTATTCCATGTTCCAAATAAACCCGAGTTTTACTGACTTCTCCAGAAGTCTAACCAGCAGTTGACAGTACATACCATATTTTTTTTAATTTCACTTCTGGCTGTTCAGTAAGCATTGGTTGAACATATTGATAACTAGAAATATGTCCATAGGACATGAATGCCCCGCCGAGGGTATATTAGTAATGCAACATTTTAACACAAATTGAAAAAAGTGAGGTCAAAGTCAAAGGAAAGGTCAAGGTGAAAAAATATTGATGCAGTTGAAAAGCTTACATCAGTATGTATCAGCATATGAAGTTTGACACTAATTTAAGAAAAGTGAGGTCAAGGTCAAAGGAAAGGTCAAGGTCAAAAATTGTTGATGCAGTTTAAAAGGTTACACCAGTATGTATTAGCATATGAAGTTTGACAAAAATATTATGAATGGTTTCTTTAAAACTGAGCTAATTTAAGAAAAGTGATGTCAAGGTCAAAGGAAAGGTCAAGGTCAAAAAATATTGATGCAGTTTAATAGCTCTCATCAGTATGTATCAGCATATGAAGTTTGACACTAATTTAAGAAAAGTGAGGTCAAAGGTCAAAGGAAAGGTCAAGGTCAAAAAAGTTAATGTAGTTGAATATCTCTCATCAGTATGTATCAGCATATGAAGTTTGATAACACTATCTTGAATTGTATCTTTAAACTGCACTAAAAACTTATTTTAGAAAAGTGAGGTCAAGGTCAAAGGAAAGGTCAAGGTAAAAAATATTGATGCAGTTGAATAGCTCTCATCAGTACGTATCAGCATATGAAGTTTGTTAAAAATATCTTGAATGGTTTCATTAAAACTGAGCTAAACACTAATTCAAGAAAAGTGAGGTCAAGGTCAAAAGAAAGGTCAAGGTCAAAAAATGTTGATGCAGTTGAATAACTTACATCAGTATGTATCAGCATATGAAGTTTGATTACACTATCTTGAATGGTATCTTTAAATCTGAGCTAAACACTTAAGAGGCAGTCCACCGAAAAACCAGGCAGTATTGTATTAATAGGCGGCACATCGAATGTGAGGAATATTTGATATTTTATTAAAAACAATATCAATGTTGCCCAAAAGGAATAATGTAATTGAAGATTTGTTTGATAATTGCTTATTTAGTAAAATATCCTTGTGTTTTGTGTTTTTGAATGCCCCTATATAAACCATTGAATGTAGGTCAGAAACAAAGAACTGTAATTTCTAATACATTTTTAACAGGACTATAATTCACACTTAACTAAATCTAGAAATATTTCAACTTTTTGTTTAAAAAATAAAATCGGTGGGAAAAACACTTTTGATAGTAGTTTTCTGGCAAAATATAAGGACGTTTTAATGAAATTTTGCGATGCAAGAGTTATCTCCCGTGGCATCGATAAATCTGCTCAACACCTTTTTATCGGAATCCTAGTGAAATATTTAGAATCGATACACTAAAGAAAATAATTAAACAAAAAACTAAATAATTTATTTTCAAAATATAATTCATTTTCGCCTCCAGACGTAATATTTAGATTAAAATTGGCTCTATTATTCAGGTTGAATCCACGTTTCCATTGATGTATCAGTGACGTCATATACCTGACTAATATTGCGTCACAATGAAATAGTTACAAGTTTCCAGAGAAGTTTGTAAATTCTTTGCGTAAAAGTGTAAAGAAAAAGATTTTTTAAAAAAATGATTTTTCTTTTTCTGTTTAATTACTCTTCAGAGTGCATTATTCTAAATGTTAAATAATATTTTAATATCAAAATGTATTTTATACACGGGCGGTGTCTCAGCTAGATGACGTTTTGATAAGTAATTTTATACATGTCTGGGAACTAATTTTTTTAAACTGATTTACTAGGATATGCGTAAAAATAATTAATGAAGTGTTTATCATGAACATTTCTTATAAAATTGGGAATCAATGATGAATGTTTTAGATTTACGCAACACTTAATTCAACGAAGTTGAGATGTTTACTTCATGATATTTGTAAAAACTTAAATATATTTATCTATGCAGTCAAATCAAAATAAACAATCCGAAGTACGATTAAAAATGAAAAAAAAAACCCTGAAAAATAAGTTATAAAAATATATTTATTGAGTTAAACTACTGCTGAACTCCCCACTATAATTTGGCACTAAAACGGAAGATGGTTTAGTGAAACATTACATTTTTTTAATTTTACTTATTTATTTTTTTAATTTGGCGATTGAAACAATCACACACTCACATTTAATATGGAGTTTAAACATGTGACTATGTTGGCCAATTCTAAAATGTTTTCACGTTTATGGAACCAATTTTTAAAAATAATGATGTCATGACCCCCCCCCCCCCCCCCCTGCTTTTTGCTTGCGATTTATCGGCTCTTGAACAATGATACTATATATGAAAGAACTTATTTTCTTATTTATATAAAATCAAATTTTGTAAAAGAGGAAAAGGCTTTACAGATGACAGATAAGAAAAAATTGGATAAAGTCGAGACTGCACACATAAAAATATTTCCTGTATTTAGGCAAGTTTAATTTCGCCACTGATAGAATTTACTCTTTAATTCCTGAGGAAATAAAAAAGAAATTTTACTTGGAAATAAGATAAATAATAAAACTAGAGAGCTGTCTGCTCTCATTTGTTGCATAATGCATGTACAAATACTTTTTTTTAAATACCGAGTATCTATTAAGAATTCAATCAGATGTTTTACATGTAATCTTCATGTACGTAAAAGACATTAGTAATTTGAATAATATAAATTTGAATCTATGGTTGCACTCATTTAAAAACAGTTAACTGACTGAAAAGAAATAAAAGACAAGCGTATTTTTCTGATGAATTAAAATGAAGAGCCAAATTTTGGAAATGTTTCTAAATTTACAGTAAAAACCGATCCCGATCCGATCGAAAATAATGCAAAATTAACAAATTTATCAAACAAAAGGCACCTGCCACCTATATAACATGTTAAAAAAATAAATCAAGTAAGTTTTTACTCATATTACAACAAAAGAGCCAGATTTAACATTACAATTATAGTATTTTTTTCTTTATATAATTCCGGTCGGGATCGGTTTCATTTGGGAAAATTATAAAAAAAAAAAAAAAAAAAAAAAAAAGGTAAATTTGACTCCTTTTATTTCTTTCAATATACCTGTTCCCACTGATTTTATTGAGTGATTCAAAAGTTTGTACTTTGTATTCATAATAACATAAGAAAAAAAATCTGTCCTTGTAATGTATTGGGTTTTATAACGTAATGAAAACTGGATACTGAATTCAAAAAGTTACTTGCTTAACTCAAATTTGGACCATATAATTTTTTCTAAAGAAGTATAAATTGGAGTCTTATTCATTAATAAAATAAAAGATAAGAGTCTATGCTATAAATAATATTCATCGACACATCCAGCTTTTGAGTATCTGTTACATATAAAACAAAATAAAAACGTAGTATTTTTTTTTACCCTTATGTTGACCTTTTTGCACTTAAAATTAAGCATTTACCAAAAATAGGACTAGAGGAGCACTAAAAATTTTTTTAATGTTGTCATGTGTAAACACTTGCTTTAATAAGTCTACATGCAAAAAATAATTAAAATCCATGACATGCGATGTGCCACCCATTGCCTGGTTTTTCGGTGGACTGCCTCTTAATTTAAGAAAAATGAGGTCAAGGTCAAAGGAAAGGTCAAGGTCAAAAAATGTTGATGCAGTTGCATAGCTCTCATCAATATCTATCAGCATATGAAGTTTGATAAAAATATCTTGGATAGTTCTTTGAAACTGAGCTTTGAACAGAGCTAAACGCAAAGTCGCAAAGTGTGACGGAAGGACAGATGGAAGGACGGAAGGACAGAAGGACGGAAGACGGACATGACAAACACTATATGCCCCAGCCATATTCATGGCGGGGCATAAAAATTGCTCTACTAACAATGAGCCCAGCTATAAATGGTTTAAAATGAATCATTTTTAAACAAATGTACACTTTACACATGTTTAAAGGCAAAACCAATTTTGGGACAAACTTTAAGGATGGCTGTGTGTGCATCCTTGTTATTCTACACACTGTTTAATCCTGTAACATCCCGTTATTCTGCACACTGTTTAACCCTGTAACATATTATTCTGCACACTGTTTATCCCTGTAACATCCGTTATTTTGCACACTGTTTATCCCTGTAACATCCCCATTATTCTGTACACTGTTTAACCCTGTAACATCCCATTATTCTGCACACTGTTTAACCCTGTAACATCCCGTTATTCTGCACACTGTTTAATCCTGTAACATCCCGTTATTCTGCACACTGTTTAACCCTGTAACATCCCCATTATTCTGCACACTGTTTAACCCTGTAACGTCCCATTATTCTGCACACTGTTAAACCCTGTAACATCCCATTATTCTGCACACTGTTTAACCCTGTAACATCCCGTTATTCTGCACACTGTTTAATCATGTGTAACTACTGTGGTAATATTTTGCTTAACTTTTGTAGAGATATTTACCTGTAACTAATGTAACAAAATATAATAAATTTAACAAGATTTTTATCTGTAACTATTTTTAATGAAATTTACCTGTAACTACTGTGATCACCACATTTTTGTCCTCGGCTGCCTCTTTTAAAGCAAGTACCCACTCATCATACATCTAAAAAGTATATAAACAATCATAAATTCTATGTAAGAATTACTTTTGCATTGAAGTCGAATAATAATTCTGAGCAATATCTTTATTCTGTGTCTTTAAATTGTAAATACATGTACATACAAATGAATTTACACTGTACCTCAAAATTGATTGCATTTTTCTTATTAGGTCTGTTGAGTTTGATAGTGTATACACCTCCTTCATTTGTTGTTACTAGTGTGGTAAATTTACCAGAGGTGGCTGTCGTATTTTCAGCAGGAGTTTCTGATTTTTCTTTGCCAGCTAATTCATCAACAAGTTCAATATACTTTTGTTTGGCTGTGTCCTTAGAAAAAAGAAAAACATCAAATTCATTCATAATTCCGGGTATACATAATACACACTTATAACAAACACACTTAGAACGAATTCATGCTTACAGCGAAGTGATTGTCATTACCTGAGGTTTTAAAATGTACTGTACAATTAACAGATATAACAAATAACATTTATAACAATTTTTACAAAGCAAAACAGTTCTTCCCTGGCACTTAACTATAAGCATGTTTTACCGTATTAATAAATATAAAAACCGACATTGAAAATTTTGTTTCCTGTGTACATTCTGTTATCTCTACATAGCTTTGATACTTACATCTGGCTAGACAATGTGGATAATACTTGAATTATTATTACATGTTTTATACAAATGACCATTATAACCACATACATGTGTAAATTTTGTTATATCAATCCATGACTGATGATCAACACATTTGAAATACAATATACAATAAAGAAATTGGAAAAAGTTTTTTTTTTTTAAATTATTTTTTATGCTGATCTAAATACAACATGCAACACACAGAGAGTTGAGAAAAACTATGATTATACAAGAGAACAAAACTGCTACTGCGCCACTATAAAAAAAAAAACCAAAGTACCTTTTCAAAACTTGTTATAATGAATTTGATGGATAAATAGTTACATATATCTGCATAATTTACAAATAAAAAATACTTATTACTCCTTTGCATAATTTATGCATAAAAAATACTTATTACTTCCTAAAACATCACACAGGAAAAAATGTGAAAAACAAATTTTAAAAATCAAGTTCAATGTTTTGCCTGGATGGAACCTGCATTCAAAGTTTCCAGCAATAAATCGTTGCTTTTTAAAATTTTCAAGTGGCAGTGATTGGAAAAAACATATCAACATCAACAACCTATTAAAATTTTTGAACGATGTATCAAATTCTTAACAAACCTGGAAGTCAGAATTTAAAAGAAATCACGTCTGACATTGGCATATTCATTTCAGTTTGGCTTTGTAAAAAAGGCTGATGATGATGATTAAAAAGTCAGCGAAACTCAAATCATTGATGAACAATTTTCCAAAACATTCAAACAACTTTCAGTTGTTGCCTCTTGATTGACATGTGTACCCCAAGAAACCAAAATGGCAAATTGGTAAAATGAGCAAATAAAAGAACAAGGACAATTATTTTCTTTTACTTTCATTTTTTAAAAACATCAAATAATGATGTAAGGAAGCATAGCTAGTATAACAACTAAAAGCAAATCCAAAATATATTCTGACCCTCAAAATTCTTTTTGAGTATAAAAACTACTTCAAAGGGTCATAATGACCCTTGGTTTTCAAAGTTAGTAGAAACACTGGAAGAGTGTGGTAGAGCAGTCAGTATGGTCTCTACAGAGGGTTTCTTTTGAAAGATTTGTTTTAAAAAAATTTAAGAAGTTAAATATATTTGGGTTTTTTAAAAAACAAATGCTGTGACTAAATTAACAAATACCAAAATGTCTTCTATAGGTGGCCACAGCATTCAATACATACACAGTTATTGGAAGATTGTATCATAAATCTGTGGCAAATGGAAGTGTAGTGAATTGGATATGGATGCCAAAGCACTGGGTGACACAGTAGACATGATACAATAGACATACATGTATCACTCTTCATCATTACGGAAACAGGGATACCACCACTGTTGCAACATCACTGACAACCAACTTTATTTCAGTGCAAAAACAGAACTAAGTGCATAATCAGCCTCAGAAAATTAGTTTGCAAGCAAGATGGATTTTTGGTCTTGTGTTAATCGACATCGAGACATCGGCAAATTTGACTGCATTGGACAAGTTGGCATGTTAGATTGATTAACTCATGCCAATTAGGCAAATGTTCTGTGTACATATGAGAATTCTGCAAGGTGTGTTAGCAATTTTGTCAAGTGTATATATGCTCTAGTATTAGGGGTGTAACGATTAAACAGTGTATCACTATACCAAAAAATATTACTGTATAAGTGGAATTTTTAGCGAGCCGCAATTTTAGCAATTCGTCTTGAAAAATTGGTATACAATTTTAGCCAAAAGTAATTTTAGCAATTTTATGATACCCAGAAGTCTAATGGTAACCTCCAATGCAGAAGGATTTGTTTGCAATAGTCAATTTTAGCAATCTCAACATACTCCCCAAAGATGCCAAAATTGAATCCTAGCTAAAATTTCTGCTTTATATAAAGTATATTGTAATTGGGTTTGAAAATTGTATTCCTTTATATCTCAGTCAGCAATATATCCCATTTTCAGAATTTTATTTTTATTTCTGATTGATTTTAAGGAAATTAAAGTTGAATTTATCCTGTATACATAGATAAGATACCTGTGAAATATCACCTAAACTGTTCCAAGCATCCCATTTTGCCTTCCCAACAAAGTCCATCATGCCTGGTTTCTTTGTGTTGCATTTTCCAGTTGTTGCCTAATACACATGACAATTAAACATCAATTAACTCATTGATTAATTATACATTTAAGGCTAAACAAATATTGCACATTCACTGAGCATGTGTATACGATATTTGCATTATTATTTCTTACTCTGACATGCAAATTCTTTTCTCCTCAGGGGTAGACAAATAGAATTTGTCAATACTTGCCCTCGGACAGGTTACCATCGTAAAATTACTTGTCCTGCCAAAAAATATGCTTGTCCCACCTTTTTCTTAATTAACACAAAATTAAAGCATTATCGTTAATATTAAATTATTTCTCAATTGATAAACTACATGGGGACCAAACTATACCAAAATCACTTAATTCTTCCACGGAAAAATTTAGGGGTGAGTCTTGTTCCAGGGAGATTTCTGAGCTTGTGCAGTGCGCATATCTATATGTACATGTACATAATTTAAACATTTCTATGAATTACTTAATTTAACATCCCAAAAATTGAAGACGTCAAATCATTTGATGATTTCCAATTGCAAGGCATATGAATATCAAGCATTAGAATTAAAGTTTACATTGTCAACTTACAATTTCTCAACTGAAAAAAAGTTATTTCATGTCCTGCATAATATGCATACATGATCACAGTTCAATATTTTAGTAGTAAAATTTTACGTTTAAAATCCAGATTTCTTTCCGTATTTTCGGGGTATTAGTTAAGTAAAAGTTTCAGTCTATTTTCTTCAAAATTCTTAAATGAGGTATTCCCTATTTTTTTTATTTAAAAATAATGTATAATTGTTTAATTGAAAACAAAAAAAATATTATACAGTAATTGATTATGAAAACCACCATTGTATGCCGATCGTGACTTTCTGTGATCGCTAGTCAACAGCTCCAATTTTAATATCAGTATAAAACGTTTGTATTCACGGCATGAACTTTACAATACCTAAAAAGGTCTAAAATCCTCTTCAACTTTACAATACCTAAAAAGGTCAAAAATCCTCTTCCACTTTTATTGACATGGAATCGATAGCTGCTATGTTTTACATCGTGTGTATATTTTAACTACACATGAATGGGTAAATTCTAGAGGAGTTCCGACCGAGTATTCGATGTAGTGATGAACAGCAGCAAAAACAGGTGCTCTACTGTGATTCATTACATTTCAACAGCGGTAAAACAAACAACATTTGATTTTTTGTTAACTGGAGAAGCACTTGTCCGCGGGCAGGTACCACTTATCAAATAACTTGCCCGCCAAACAAAATTGGTTGTCCCGGGCGTCGGGCAATGCTATTTGTCTAGCCCTGCTCCTTTATAGTTAAGAAAGAAGGTTTCATTAAAACATTTTTAAAATAAAATATTAGTATAATACAGAACGTCATGTGATCAAATCCCATAATAAGGTGTAATGGGAAAGGGGAAAAATGTGATGGAACAGACTGGGATTCAAACCGGGGCCCCCTGAATCTCTAGTCAGGTGCTCCACAAACTGAGATCTCTAGCCACCTGCGATCAAACCCGTCTGATTGCCACGAAGGCATGGTAGATTTGATCATGTACCAAACTGTATTGGCTATATTATTAATGAATGGAAATAAATACTTGTTTAAACAATGCATATATTCTCAATTTGACATCATTTCCTGGATCATCCTTCAGAAAATTCAGTCGAGTCTTTGCTTTCTCGAAATCATCATCGTATGCTCCCATAGCTCGTACTGACAATTGGATTGAGCGGTTCTGGATAATACTGACCCTGAAAAAGAAAGACATTTGATAATTTTTTGAATATCATATTTAATTTTGAATAATTACTCAAAAAAATTCTTTAAAAATCTAATTATTTAATATTTTAGTTTTCACCTTTTAGTATCAAACATCATTGAGACATGTAAAAATTGTTAACAATTTTTCATTCAGGAATCCCTGAAGCAATGTGTCACCACAATTTTCTCATGATAATTGGACTTTGACCAGCTATTGCATTAACGTGTTAGGCCTACTCAAAATGCAAAAGCAGACGTTGTGGTTAATATGATTACAAACTTGCAATTCTACGGCATATATCGACAAAATATAATTATTTAACAAAGATTACATAATTTGTAATCATATTCTTTAGAACTACAAAACTTTTTTTGAATGTATTAAAAGCTATACCATTTGTTTACTCCAACAACACGAAGCCGATGCAACAAGGAGGCAGCCATTACTATTTTCACAGCGCCACCGTGTGGCAATATTTTGCAGACCGCGCTATGGCGGACAATAAGCACTATGAGGTAAATTATAGATATATCGAGCTGTTTATGACCATTCTAGTCTTCCGTGAAATATTTGAATAGCTTTTATTTTATTTCCTGACCATAAACTGTTAAAATCAATTAGTATTTATGTGATCATATTAATATAAATTCTACATTCACAACAGAAAGTTTATACGATAAAAGTATATTTGCTCTGTCATTTTGAAACCCAAGCAAGGGAAAAAAATGGAAATTTTGTAGTTTATAAATAAATCAGCGATGTAAAGTGTAGAGTTACGGAAGGTGTATTTCAATAGCTGTTTAAAAAAACGTGTCATTTGAAAATTTTCAAACAATCAACAGCTGATCGAACATTGCAGAACTAAAGAATTATTTTTCAACATTCTCTGATAGATCTATATGCCTATCTAAAATTTTGTATAAAAGAAAGTAAAGTTGATTTTTAGGATGTAAGTTTAGCAAGTTATATCAAGTTCATTGTAATGTATATAAATTACAATCTACATTTGTTTTTTTCTTGGAATTGCTTAAACTTGAGTTCCCAGAATTATTATTTGTGTATATAGTCCTAATTTTTAAAACTGCAAAAGTTAAAACAGTGTTAATGGCACATTAAAAGCCTAAAAGAAAATCTCAGCATTTAAATTATTACAAGTATATGTACGTATGCAGAATGCCAGGCCATAGCTAATAAACATGAAAAACTGCATGTCTGAAAATAAAAATATTGATTGTGTTATCAAATAGCTCTTGTTTAAACTTTTTAAATATATTTACTTAATATGTGCATATGTGAAATTAAAATTTTTAAAGTCACTTTTGGCACAGCACTTTTCCACCAGTTGTGTTGGATTTGAAAATCATGCATGTTTTGTATACAATGATATATTTCTTTTTACCGCAGAAGTTTAAGATTTCTTATATTTTTCTTTAATTAATGTAGTTATCAATTTAATAAAAAAAATTGGTACAATATCAGTCTTAATTGTGCATTCCCTTTTTTTGGTGTGTGTGTTGGGGGGGGGGGGGGGGGGGGTACATGAAAGACTTCACTGAATGTCAAGGATTCATCAAGGATTCATTTTCTCTAATAATTAGTTACATTTAGTTTTACAAGAAAATAAGTGCCCTTTTTATGTGCCTAAATTTTACAGAAAAATTCAATTCATGGTTGTCATCTTATTATATTTTGATGTTAAAGCATTGTTTACTCATGTTACTACAGCACAAAACACATTTCTGCCCAGTTTAGACTGCATTTTATCTTTATGATTTACAAAGCAAAAAAAATTATTCCATTTCAGCAGATCATGGATTATAAGAAACTTTTCATTTATTTTTGAATGAATATTCAGAATTGTTAAGAAACAAAACATGCTTATCTGTTGTATAGTCATAAATTTTGACCAGTTTTATGTGTTTTAATTTTGTCATGTTATACTGCTGCATATTGTCAGGACATGTCATTGTTGGATTGTATTCCACTTTGGAATGTTGTAATTTTGCTATGTAGTCATGCATAATCCCCTGTACCCCCCCCCCCCCCATATAACCTTCATAGGCATACACGCAGACTTTTGGGTAAATTTTATTTAGTAAAATGAAAAAAAAAATCAATGTATCCTTTGAACAGGTACAGAGTAAAACCAGAAATGAAAGAAAGTATAAGGTGTAAATTTTTCTCAGTCTCATTATAATGAAAATTCAAACTTAAATTAGAATTTTCCTTAAAGTTAAGGCACAGTTCTTGTATTACTATAAAATTTTGGAAATATTTTTCATGCTATTATAGGCGTTTAAAGCAATCATACCTGAACGCTCTGCTATGTTACGTGTAGACTGCTGTGATAAGACATTCCTTTCTATAACAAAATGTGATTAAATATTTTAGGTAGAAAAGATTTTGGACAAAAGCAGTATAAATGAACAAATCTATTACTTGATTCGATGGAAGGGGTTCGGATCAGACTGGGACACGTGGGAACCAGTGGATAACCTGATTGATTGCCTACAGCTTGTTCTGGACTTTGATGCTGCAAAGGAAAGATCCTCACAGTTACTGGATTCATCTTTAGAAGCTGTTGCTAGAGGAATTCCCAGTCCAAAGAAAGATGGCAAAACTAAAAACAAATCTTCATCTGTGAGCAAATCTTCAAATGTAAAAAGCTATGTGTCATCCATGAAGAAATCTCCAAAATCTCCTAGAAAAAGCCCATATAAAGTTTCTGTTGAAAGTGTTAAAGGGGTCAAGGATGAAAAGATGCGAAAGAGGCTTGCAAGGGAGAAGGGAAAGCTTTTTATTGACATGAAAAAGGAAACATTTATACCAACAAAGAATGAAAGTGGTCAAGGTCCTGGGGAGGGTGAAAGCTCAAATGCAGCAAGTGGAACTAGTCCAGAGGGTCAGAAATATCCAAAGAGGGATTCTAGTCCAAGGTCACCACAGAAAAATGAAGGAAATATTTCACCAAAGAAAGACACTGAAAATAAGCTTAAAACAGATGATGTTGATTCCAAAAGTGCTGAAAAGGATTTAAAAACAGACAAAAGTCAGTCATCTTCAAAAAAGAAAGAAGAAAAAGATGTAAAAGATACAATAAAGAAATCGATGGATAAGGGTTCACCCAAGGGATTGAAAAAATTAACAAAAACAAGTGCTTCAGAGAAAGTTATACGTGATAAAAAGTATAAAAAGTCTGTAAAATATGCTATGAAAGTAAAACTGAAGCCTACAGGAAAAGTGAAAAAGGAAAGTGATAAAAAAGACAAAAAGAAGAAGGACAAAGAGGAAGTGAAAAAACTTGTTCAGAAAAAAGTTTCCAAAGAAGACAGTAAATCAGACAATAGTTCAGAGGTAAAAAAGAAATTTAAGACATCTCAATCAGGAAAAACTCAGAAGACCGAGAAATTCACTGACAAGTCTACAAAGAACAAACCGGAAGGAGAAAAAGCAAAGAAAGGCAAAGCCACCAAACGTAAAGTGGAAGAGGATTACCACATTGTGGAGTGTTCCACCTCAGATACTGACGATGAACCTCTGTGTAAAATGAAAGTCAAGAAATTGAAGAAGAGCAGCAGTGATTCTTCTCTTGTGAGCAGGAAGAAGGACACGAAGAAAGGTTCTCCCAAGTCGAAAACTGGTCAAGATGGTAGCAATCAGGCTGTAAAAGTCAAGCCAAAACAATTGACTGTAAACAATGTAAAGAGGAAATTAGAGGTCCGTGTTCAACCACTGGGCTCCACATCCAAATCTAAAACAATGAGACTCATTGACAGCAAAAAGGGTAAAGAAATGGCAAAGGGTACCAAAACAATTTTATACTATAATTTAATGCATGTATTAATCGATATTCAGTAGAGTAAAATTCATATATATATATTCCTTTGTCATGTTTGTGGGGTTGAAATTTCTTTGCCATTTATCTGGATTATGAAACAGACTGATTTTGAGAAGCTCTTTGAGCAATAAATCTTGGAATTGTATACCTTACACATGAAATGACATATACAGTGAGTTCTTTTGTCTTTTGGCAGTTCAACCTGTTTCACCCAAAATTTCCTCCTACACCACAGTAAAGCCAGTGACTATAAGTGGGGTGGGAATAGTGAATTTGGTGGTAGATGCAGATCTTGCCACACCCCTATCTGGAGATGTGCCGGGGAACCAGTACCTCCCTTCTGTGACTCCAGTTAGCCCCTCCTCTGTCTCCTACAAGTCTCTGTTAGACAACATGCCACCCTCCCTTCTTGCCAAGAAAGGTGGAGGGAAGAAGAAAGACACGGATGATACATCAGAGGATGACCAGGAGAAAGTGGAGAGACGGATTAGTGTACGCCAAAGTGAATGTGCATACAGGTACAGGAAATACATAGACGTAATATAAAGGATTATAAATACACCTCAGTGGTGCAATCTTCTCCTCTGAAATAAAGTATCTAAAGAAGGACATTGAAGTGTTTTTATTCTATGAATAATGGTTAGGTTAACATGTGAGTGTCAAATATCTGATATGTATCTATTGATTTCAGGTATAAGGATATTGTTGTGAGGAAATGTCAGAGATACACTCAGATCTGGCTTAACACTCACACCAAGATTAAAAATGTTCTCAATCCACAGGTAAGAATAATCCCATTGATTTTTGTGGTTTCTTTTTTTTTTGGGAGGGGGGGGGGGTCACCATAGCATGCCTCCATTTACGCTTGATTGTGATACATTGGTGAATTGAATTTGATTTTTCTATTCATCTGTTTACCCATTCACATCTTTCATATGGCCTCGACATTTAAACTACATAGTTTGAGATTTATGTATATCTTCATCTAGAAAGTGCCATGTCGGGTGTACATGTACTACTGCACACTAGTGCATCCATGATCCTTAATACTCATATGCAAACTGTATCACCTTTTTTGCCAACTCAGACTATTTGGAGGATTATTTTTGATGTTGCTAATTTGCAGGTTATTCAAGAAACTCTTCAAGCCCTGAACTCTGCAAAGTATGATGACAGCAGTTTGATTTTGTTCAGTGGACTAGGGAATGTGTTTTGCAATGGGGTGGATTTGATGTTTCTCTTGTCTGGGGAAAAGAGAGTTGTGGTTCGGCAAATGGTGGATGCTCTCAGGTTTGTCCAATATCTTAGCAATAGCATGAAGCTCTTATAATTTATTTAGAAGTTAGTTTGTTCTTTTTATCTGGGGAGAAGAGGATGGGGGAAACGTGTGATTAAAGAGGTATTTTAAGAGAATATGACCAAAACATTTCATTGAGCAATGATGCCAAATAATAGAAATTTCTATGCATCTAACACATCTAGTGAGCTTTATGAGCTTTATATTTTCATGCCCAGGATATTAAAGGTGTTGGTGCATCTTTAACATATTAAAACAGAAACTTTAGAACATAAATGCCGATGATAAAGAATAGAGAAAGAAAATTCTAGAAACTTAGGGTTGCAGTAATACTGTAAACATAAATAAAGTAGCACACTCAAACTTAGGGCAATCTTCCTCTTCAACTACCGGTAATTAGCACAATCATGAAGCAGCACATCTGCATTTAAAAGTGACATTTACAAGTTTAAATCATATATATGTGTGTATGTGATTAAGCAAACTAGAAGCAGCATGAAAGATGCTAAATTAGGATAAGAACATATACAGTAGTTTAGATTATTGAACAATACATGTACATGTACATATATTTACCAGACTTCAACCTAGTATTTTTACAAGTATTTTCACACCTACAACTAATGTTGCAAAATATTGTATTTTTCCAGAGATTTTACAAAGGCTCTTATCACTTTCCCTAAGCCTGTAATAGCTGTGGTCAATGGACCTGCTGTAGGCCTAGGTATGGCCATGCTTCCTCTGTGTGACATTGTGTATGCCAGTGACAAGGCTACATTTTATCTGCCATACTCCACTCTGTCCCAGACCCCTGAGGGATGTGCCTCCTACACTCTCCCGCAGTCAGTTGGCATGGCTATGGTAAGTTGGGACTACAAACTTATCAATGTTCATGAATTTTAAAATCAACAGAAGTTAGAAGAATGAACATATACTTGTATATTCTAATAATAAAAGAATCACATTTTTATTAGTTTACTTGCATGTACGGTATTTATGTATTTTTAACTTCCCAATCCTGATATACATGTAAACGAAGAAACAGAATGAAGATCAAATAAAATTCTTCATCAAGAATGTCTTATAGATATCTAAATCAGATACTGATTTGCCTTGGAAATTTTTTTTACAAAGTTTGTGAAGAGTTAAGTTTCACAAAATTTATCACCATATTAAAGTTTTGATAAAAGGTACCATACTGCATGTATGTAACAAAACCAATACATTTTGTAAAATCTCTACTTTTTGCAAAAATAACCCACATGGAAGTCACAAAACTTTATCCCTTAAAAGTTTCCACATTTACAATATACGTTGATGAATTCTTACTGGATTTGACTAGTTTTAAACAATTATGAGCAAGATTTGGAATTTTGCTTCAAGTACATGTTCTCTTGAATAATGGAGAATGTTTTGCCCTGTTCTGTTCACACGGAGAGTTTAATTCGCAGTAAATTAATGCGAAGTAAAATGATGCAAATTAAACTAATGCAAATTAAATTGCGTTCACCCGACAGCTAGTGCAAAGTAAACTAATGCGAATTATAATTATACCCCCGCTCCGAAGGAGAGGGGGGTATACTGTTTTACCCTTGTGTGTCTGTCTGTCCGTCTGTCTAGCTGTCCGTCTGTCTGTCTGTCCGTAACAAATTTTGGTCGCAGTTTTCTCAGCAACTACTTGTTGCAGATGCTTGAAATTTTAACACACTCTTTGTTTAGGCATGCCATATTGTGGGATTCATTTTTGTACTAATCTGATGTCAACTTCCTGTTCATCCGTGCGTCCGTCCGTACCATACATAACAAACTTTGGTTGCAGTTTTCTTAGCAACTACTCATTGCAGATGCTTGAAATTTTAACACACTCTTTGTTTAGGTATACCATATGGTGGGATTCATTTTTGTAGGAATCTGATGTCAACTTCCTGTTTATCCGTGCGTCTGTCCGTACCATACATAACACATTTTGGTCGTAGTTTTCTCAGCAACTACTCATCGCAGATGCTTGAAATTTTAACACACTCTTTCTTTAGGCATGCCATATGGTGGGATTCATTTTTGTACAAATCTGATGTCAACTTCCTGTTTATCAGTGCGTCTGTCCGTACCATACATAACACATTTTGGTCGTAGTTTTCTCAGCAACTACTCATCGCAGATGCTTGAAATTTTAACACACTCTTTGTTTAGGCATGCCATATGGTGGGATTCATTTTTGTACTAATCCGATGTTAACTTCCTGTTTATCCATGTGTCTAACCGTACCATACATAACAAACTTTGGTCGCAGTTTTCTCAGCAACTACGCATCCCAGGTGCTTGAAATTTTAACACACTCTTTGTTTAGGCATGCCATATGTTGGGATTCATCATTTTTGTACAAATCCGATGTCAACTTCCTGTTTATTCGTGTGTCTGTCTGTATCATACATAACAAATTTTGGTCGTAGTTTTCTCAGCAACTACTCATCGGAGATGCTTGAAATTTTCGCACAATCTTTGTTTAGGCATGCCATATGGTGGGATTCATTTTTGTATGAATCTGATGTCAACTTCCTGTTTATCCGTGTGCTGTCCGTACCATACATAACAAACTTTGGTCGTATTTTCTTATCAACTACTCAACGCAGATACTTGAAATTTTAGCAAATCTTGTTTAGGCATGCCATATGGTGGGATTCATTTTGGTACAAATCCAATGTCAACTTCCTCTTTTTCCCCACATCTGTCTGTACCATACATAACAAATTTTGGTCGCAGTTTTCTCAGCAACTACTCATTGCAGGTGCTTGAAATCTTAACACAATGTTTGTTTAGGCATGCCATATGTTGGGATTCATTTTTTACTAATCCAATGTCAATTTCCTGATTATCACTGTGTTTGTCCATAACTGAACTTGTGTATTCACATCCGAGTGGGGGTATTATTAGTGAGCATTGGCTCACAGACTTCTTGTTTTATTTCTACAACAAGGCTATTCAGTGAGGCTATTATGACATCATTTCAAATCATGTCACATTGTGCAGAGCAGATAATGTCATAGTGTCTGTACACATTTTAGTGATAAACATAATTCTCCTTTGTTTTCCACTCAAATATAGCACAAGTACTTATATTTGATCATCGACATGTGGCCTGTGACTTAATTCTGTCCTTACGCATGCGTCAAAATTTAATTCGAATTAGCTTTGCTTAGCGTTCACATGGAGCTAATGCAAAGTAATTTAATGCGCAGTAAACTAATTCGAATTAAACTAATTCGCATTATATTCTCCGTGTGAACGCGGATCAAATTTAATTCACAGTAACTTACGTTTAATTCGAATTTAACTCTCTGTGAGAACAGGCCACTTATATGGATGATATTATTTTAGGCAAATGAGCTGCTGCTGGCAGGTAGGAAGGTGACAGCTATAGAGGCCTGTCAGCTAGGTCTGGTGTCTCAAGTATTCTGGCCCACATCTATGATGCAAGAGGTCATTCCAAAGATACAGAACATTGCACTACACTCAGCAAAGGTAACTATACAGGGCTCTAATTGGCGACTAATTTTGTCGCCATGGCGCCAAAAAGTTTTGATTGGTGCCTAAAAATTTTCTATAAGTTGCCAAATTGGTGACTGTTTTAAATTGACTTGGCGATCATCTGATTCCAAAAATTTTAACATTTTTACCAATTTTAATTTCTGAAAAGGTGAAAAGAAATTTAAAAGAAGAGGAAATTATTTTTAGCAATGGACATGTCGTGTTTTCTCAGTCACGTCATGGGTCCCTATATTGATTGCTATTAACTTTTATAGTTGGCACTCTAAAAAAAATTGCTTGGCGACTAAATATTTGCATTGGGGACTAAATTTTTTTGATAAGGTGCCAGCTGGCGCCTAAATTTTAGAAGCCACTTAGAGGCCTGCTACAGAGGTTCAATTCATTCTTACGTGAGAGGAAGACAATAAACTGTTGGTATGAAATAATCTACTTTGGGTAGTGTGAAGAATGATCGGTTCCTGGACTTTTTTGGAACATGTACATGATTGTTCTGTAAATGTACTTTATACCTAATTCAAACAAATTTTAATAAAAGTGATCATTTTCAAAAAACAAGCTGAAAATTTAAAGCTTTGAGTTTAAAATGATTGACATTTTTCTTTCAAAACATTTATTGATATTGAAACAGTAAACTACATTTACCAGAAAATTAAACTTGTGATAAGAAGATGTATATAAATTTAATTTTTGTAGGCTTTAGAAACCACCAAGTTGTTGCTCAGAAGCCACCAAAGAACCAAATTGGAGTTGACTTGTGAGTCAGAGAGTAACATTCTGTTAGAACGCTGGCAGTCTTCAGAGTGTCAGAAATCCATTCAAGCCTTCCTCAACAAGGAAGAAATTTACAGTTCTTAGTGGCATAACAAGACTCTTATCAAGGATGTAAATAACGAGATCTCAGCAACCAGGAAGTAACGGCATGTAGGTTACGACTCAGCAAATGTGTTATTTTCTTTTAGCGAAATGTTTATGTATGTGTTCTCCCAAGCAAAATTTGCATCCTTTTAATTCAGGATGTACTTATTACCTTTCATTACAAAGGAAATTTTGTCAGAAAGCCTCTGTGAATTTAATTGTCAATCAGCAACAGTAAAAATAATGCAGATACACATACTTAATTCCTTGTCTGATTAAATTACACTGTAATTGGAGTTTAAATATTACCTACATATATGTGAGGAAATCTTTATTTTCTTTGGGAAGTATTTGAAAGATATGGGACTTAAATTAATAAAAACATTTTAATGGAATTCAAGATGCTGTATTTTTGTGTGTGAAAAAAGGTATTGAAACCCTTTATATCTTTATAAATTGATTTTAAAAAAAGCACATGTACTTTTAATGTTTCAAATTGAGTGGGAATTTACTAATTCAGGGAAAGTCATTTATTGAATCATCTTTTCAGGGAAATGTAAATATACCTGTATGTATGTCCACAACATATATTTTTCACGATATTTTTATTACAACTTTATTCTAGACTTGTGGAAAAAGTTTAGAGAGGTGGTTTCTTTTCTCCCCACTCTTTTTTTTTTTCTTTTGAAAATTTGTTTAATATTGAAAGAAGTTTTGTTTTAAGCATTTATTAGTTTTTGTTGTAGAACTGTAGACTTTCATGTAGAAAAATTTCCAATATATTTGTGAATACTTGTATGTGGTATATTGGTTTTAATGAGTGTCTGTGATATATTATAAACTTAGTAATATTTAAAATACATGTAAAACTATAAACATTTAATTTTTTGACATCCTGAAAATTGTAAATATGAATTTTTATGATGAAATGTAATTGATTTTTATGCATGTACTTCCCTCAAGGTTATATCAGAAAATCCATGTGTTAATTTTGATCTGACTCATTATATTGAGTGGCTTGCAACTGGTGTCTCAAATCAATGCATCAGATCACTTTACAGTTTTGAATAATTTACATGTTGATAGGTTATTTTGTGCAACAAGTTTGGCTTTTCTTACTTAGTTATTTCAATCTTGGTTATTAATTTATTTTAATGCCTTTTCTCTTTTTTTCCTCCAAAAATAATAGAAATGAAAAAAATAGAGCTACCTATTGATACATTTTAATACAGTGGTTCCCGTTTTATCGAATAGTCAAGTTGTCAGCCTAGTTTTATCCGAATAGCCGAAAATTAGAATAGCCGATTGCTCCATACCGAGTCCAAAGATAGATGTATAGAGCTACATGTATTGATAATATATCGTAGCTAGCAAATTTCAAGCTTGCACTTTCGTTTTCTTTTGACATGTTTACTTAATGACTTTACTAAAAATAATTTATTTCACTTACTTATGAATTTAATATGAATTTTTTTTTCAAATAAATTGACGTATAGAATATATTCGTTGATAGTTATTGCCATCTTTCTTCAGCACATGTTTACATTCTTTCTTCGATGGTCGCCATTTTGGAAACGGAAGTAGACTAAATGCTTGACTAATAACCGTAAACTATTTTTCCCTGGATAGATTGTAAATTAAAAATAAACAAAAATATTAAATATATGTAATTGTTTCGTTTTTATTTGTTTCTTTAATACGGTTACGTATTTTATACTGTGTGTGAGTTTACCAGTCTCGTTCTTGTCTGCTGAAGAGAGATTTTGAGAGCCATGTGGAGAAAGATGGTATGAATTTTGAGACGTATTTTTATAGAACGGGCCATTTGTGATTTTTACCATAAATTTTGCACTGAAAAGTGAATAAATATTAAGCCAATTGACCAAGTTAAACGATTGAATAGGTTTATTTCATTATCCAAGCAAATTGTCATACACAAGCTAATCAGTTCAATAATTAAAATTTCACGCCGAAAAAATTGCAAATAATTGTCATAATTAACAAGTGCATCATTGAACCCAAGCTGATCTCCACAACTGTAATCAAAACATATTTATTTACTATGCCCACTATTGACACAGGTAAGGTGCCTGTGTGCGTCCAGGCGTAACTAATCCCCTCATTGTCGTACTCAAGCCAGTCAAGGTAATTGGTGTCAAACTGTGTAAACAAAGGCTTCACATACGAAGTTGGAGGTGTGAACAAGGTGCTGATTATCAAAAAACACTATGATAGTCCAAATTTTTGTATCGGATAAAACGAAATTCCAGTATTTTCTCATCAGAATATCAGGTGAAATTATTAATAAATATATAAGAAACGGTTTTGTGCTCTGATATTATATTAAAATAGCCGAAATATTCGTTAAACCGCTATCCGATAAAATGGAAGCCACTGTACCAACAAAGATTTTTTCAAGTTTTTTCCCCCAGAGATATTTGATATGGAATGTGCAGTGTGATTGCTTTTAAATAATTTTTCCTTTTTTTTCTGTTATTTACTGTGACTTCATTGTTCTATCATTAAGTATGATGGTCATTATGTACATTATTATTATTATTATAAATGGTGACCTGTTATGTTTTCAGACAAGATTCAGCAAACTAACTTTATATCTTAATCAATGTGTTCATGATATAATTTGTTAAGATAAAAACTTATTGAACCAGGTGCACGTCATTAACAACTTTACCATGGCAGTGTATTTAAATTCTGTTTGGTTTCACTTGGTAGTAAATGTAAAACACATTCATCAGTTAAACACAGTAATGCATGACAAGTAGAACGAAAGATAACTGTCCAATGTAGATATTATTTTTTCTTTCCATGCAGTCTCAAAATTCTTCTATTTCATCTCCATTGTTTTGAAAAAAAGAAAAAAAATTAAATGCAAGATGGGTAAAAATATTTTTATTAATTTCCTATACATGACCAAGTTTTTATTTTATTTTCCATATGCAGCCAAACTTCAGTCAAGTTTATTATATTGATCGGCCCAAAACTTTGCTGTACTAAGTTTAGAAAATAAATCTGATAAACCAGAAGAACACAAATTTTATATGAAATGAAATCTGTGTTGTTTGAAAGAAGAAAACAGTCAAAATCAAAGCTATATAGAGTGTTGGACTATTCAGTTACAGAATCATCTATTTATCTTTGTCAAACAGTCTGTGGTCTACTTGCAGTAAATGTTTCTTGAGATTGGCAGCAAATTTCATCTAAATTCAACATACGATACTTACGCAGCACATTCATACATAGTACATGTACTTTTTAAAAAACTGAAGTTCCTCTAAACTGGGTACTTCATTTCCTTGATTTTCCCTCTTACCTCATTGCTTATTAAAACTTGTGATATAGATGATAACATCTTGCCTATTTATATTTGATTATTTTACTTATGAAAAAAAATCCATTGTTACAAAACACTTTATTTATGATTCTTAATACATATTTTTGCACGTGAGAACTAATAGTTTTGTTGTATGTTCTCTTTGGTGCATTATATTTATATGTATGTACAGTTTCACATGTTTCTCAGCTGTAATTACTTTTAGTCTCATAAAAATAATTTCTGGTATATGGACATTTGAACATCTATAAAGAATGTTCAAAATGGTGTTTATTTGCTGTAGTTTTAATTTTAGTTTATAGCATAATTTATTTTCGTTCTCATGTTTATTAGCAGTTAAACTGTTACATCATCTCGACATGCTCACAAGAGCAGATACATGTAGTTCAGTTCTCAATAATTTTATTTATTTGCTAAATAACTCGGTCAGTTTTAATACCTGACAAATTTAATTGTAGAAATTGTTCATAATTTATTGATTCCTCTATACACATTAATATGTGACATCATTTCACATTAAAAAGTATGAAAAAAGACATTGATTTTGTTTTCATTCAAACTATTTATGAAAAAATTGAAGATTTATCAAATATTTTTTCTTTACACCTGAAGCAGGGTGCTAGCTGATTAAGTAGGGGATTGGGGGCACCTAGAGGTCCTATGTGGGTCCAGGGCTAAGCCCTTGTGGAGGTTTTGGGGGTAAAGCACCTGGATTCGAGTTCTAGGTGGACGTTTTTAGGTCACCTGAGTCACTCAGGTGTCCTATTGCTATCTGTTTTCATCCTTCATCATGCACTAACATTTTTGAAACCGCTGAACCAATTTCAATTAATTTTGGCATATAGCATCGGGGGGGGGGGGGGGGGGGGGTGGATTTCATGGTCCATGTCCCCCTGAGGGGTGGGGCTAAAACCATAACCAGAAGTCTCTGTCGAGACTAGCTCTACTGGTTTGTACTTATAACAAAGGAAGAGAAAAGTAGCACTTGGACTTGAAACTTTGCAACAGCAATGAATAAATAATAATCCTTGTTAAGTTGTTTTACTCTCTTTTTGTGGCAAGATGAATTGCAATCAGATTAAACCTGTAGAAGGAGTAGCCTTTTAAAAGAATTTTAGAGAAATTCCGATTTTAGTTTTGATGGTAACATCATTCATCAAATTGAATCAAAAAACAATAGAGACAATTATGTATCTCAGTGTACTGTACTTGCATGCCACATATGTTATATGAAAATCAGACCAAAACTGTAGGTGAAGTAATGTTTTGAAAGTATATCAAAGAAATTTCAATTTTTATGTAACCATGGCAACACTTCACAAAAATAAAAAAATGGATATACAGAACTATGTATCTTAGTGTAGTCTATTTTTGTGCCAAGTTATATTGAAATCAGACCAAAACTGTAGGAGGAGAAGCATTTTGAATGTATTTCACAGAAATTTTGAATGTATTTCACAGAAATTTATATTTCTAGAAACCATGGCAACACCATTCACCAAAATCAAAAATGGATATACAGAATTATGTATCTTAGTGCAGTCTACTTGAGTGCCAAGTTATATTGAAATCAGACCAAAACTGTAGGAAGAGTAGCATTTTGAAAGTATTTTGCAGAAATTTCTATTTTTAGTAACCATGGCAACAACGTTCATCGAAATAAAAAAACCATACATAGAATTATGTATCTTAGTTAATCTACATGTGTGCCAAGTTATATTGAAATCAGACCAAAACTGTAGGAAGAGTAGCATTTTGAAAGTATTTTGCAGAAATTTCTATTTTTAGTAACCATGGCAACAACGTTCATCGAAATAAAAAAACCATACATAGAATTATGTATCTTAGTTAATCTACATGTGTGCCAAGTTATATTGAAATCAGACCAAAACTGTAGGAGGAGGAGCATTTTGAATGTATTTCACAGAAAATTCTATTTTTAGTAACCATGGCAACACCATTCAACAAAATCAAAAACCGATACACAAAATTATGTATCTTAGTGTAGTCTATTTGTGTGCCAAGTTCTATTGAAATCAGACCAAAACTGTAGGAGGAGTAGCATTTTGAAAAATTGTTTACAGACAGACGGACAACTTTGACATACGGACGGATGCCTTACTATTGCATAAGCTCTTCTGGTCTCTGACCAGTAGAGCTGAAAAACAATCAATCTTAAAAAAATCTATTGTCTTGGACATCAATCAAGCAAACTGTTGGAATGATTGTAATAAGCATGAACCCTCTAATTCTGAAATTCATGGCCCCAGGGCTAGGGGTTCTGGTGCTAGGGTGGGGCTATATAGTTCATATAGTGAAAGTGCATTATTTCTTTGAAAATCTTCATCTCTGCTCTTGGGTGTCAAACAAATTAAGAAAGTGCGTAGTTATAATGAACTTGGGTGCCTCTTCCAAAATTATGAATTTCATGACCCCAGGGTCAGGGGTTCTGGTGTAAGAGTGGGGCTCTATTGATTATATAGTGAAAATGCATGAATTCTTTGAAAATCTTCTCTGCTTCTGGGTATTATGTAAAGAAACTAATGCATGATTATGATAAGCAAGAGCACTTCTTCCAAAATTTTGAATTTCATGGCCCCTGGGTCGGGGGTTCTGGTGTTAGTGTAGGGCTCTATTGATTTTATAGTGAAAATGTATTTATTCTTTGTAAATCTTCTTATCTGCTTCTGTGTATTATGTAAAGAAACTAAGTGCAAGGGTGCCTCTTACAAAATTATGAATTTCATGGCTCCTGGGTCAGGGGTTCTGGTGAAAGGGGAAGGGGTTCTATTGATTATATAGTGAAAATGCATAATTTCTTTGAAATTGCTACTAGTTATAAAGCAAAGAGTCTAAGTGTATAGTTATGAAGAGTGAGGGTACCTCTTCCAAAATTCCTAATTTGTGAATTTCATGACCTTTGGTCATGGGTTCTGGTGTTAGGGTAGGGCTGTGTTGAATATATTAATAGTGAAAATGCATTATTTCTTTGAAAAATCTCTGCTCCTGGCCATCTCTGAGGCAAACAGTAAAAGTTTTAATAAGCAAGATTATTTTTACCAGATTTTTAAAATTCTGGACCATTTGGTCAAGAATTCTGATGCTGGCCAGGGCTCTATTAATTTGTATTCTACAGTGAGAAGTTATTTCCCTTTGCCATTCACCTATGATACATGTAATTAATCACAGTGACTGTAAATAATGTTTTGAAAGGTTAATAGAATAAGAGAATTTTGTTCTTTCATAGTTTTAATGATCAGGTAGACTTGTAAATAATAGATAAATAAAAATGAGAAAAAAATAAGTCAGGTGACCGTTAAGGCCGTTGGGCCTCTTGTTACTATTTCTTGCTATCATGATTATCTATAAGAATTAATACAAGAGGCCCAGGGGCCACATCGCTCACCTGAGCACTAGGACTAGGAAAAAGCAGAAATCACTTCAATCTTGAAAGGTTGAAAAGTTTAAATATAAAAGTGGTTGGGGGGGGGGTGTCATGAATGGAACAAATTTGAATCTACATTATCTGAGGATGCTTCCATTTAAATATGACCAAACATGGCTTTGCTGTTCTTGAGTAGAAGATTTTTAAAGATTTAACCTATGTATTCCTATGTAAAACTTTGATCACCCATTGTGGCCCCATCCGACCCCCAGGGGTCATGTTTGAACAAACTTGAATGTACACTATCTAAGAATGCTTCCATATAAATATGACCAAACATGGCTTTGCTATTCTTAACAAATTGTTTTTTTTAAAGATTTTTCCTATATATTCCAATGTAAAACTTTGATTGCCCATTGTGGCCCCACCCGACCCCCGGGGGTCATGATTTGAACAAATTTGAATCTACACTATCTGAGGATACTACCATATAAATATGACCAATTATGGTTTAGCTGTTCTTGAGAAGAAGATTTTTAAAGATTTTTCCTGTATATTTCCTATGTAAAACTTTGATCGCCCATTGCGGCCCCACCCTACCCCCGGGGGTCATGAGTTGAATAAATTTGAATGTACACTATCTGAAGATACTTCCATGTAAATATGACCAATCATGGCTTTGCTGTTCTTGAGAAGAAGATTTTTAAAGATTTTTCCTATATATTCCAATGTAAAACTTTGATCGCCCATTGTGGTCCCACCCGACCCCCGGGGGTCATGAGTTGAACAAACTTGAATCTACACTACCTGAGGATGCTACCATATAAATATAACCAATCATGGCTTTGCTGTTCTTGAGAAGAAGATTTTTACTATGTGTTCCTATGTAAAACTTTGATCGTCCATTGTGGCCCCACCCGACCCCCGGGGGTCATGAGTTGAAGAAGCTTGAATCTACACTACCTGAGGATGCTACCATATAAATATGACCAATGATGGCTTTGTTGTTCTTGAGAAGAAGATTTTTAAAGATTTTTCCTATATATTCCTATGCAAAACTTTGATCGCCCATTGTGGCCCCACCCGACCCCCGGGGGTCATGATTTGAACAAACTTGAATCTACACTACCTGAGGATGCTTCCAAGTAAATATGACCAATCATGGCTTTGCTGTTCTTGAGAAGAAGATTTTTAAAGATTTTTCCTATATATTCCTATGTAAAACTTTGATCGCCCATTGTGGCCCCACCCTACCCCCGGGGGTCTTGATTTGAACAAACTTGAATCTACATTACCTGAGGATGCTTCCAAGTAAATATGACCAATCATGGCTTTGCTGTTCTTGAGAAGAAGATTTTTGAAGATTTTTCCTATATATTCCTATATAAAACTTTGATCGCCCATTGTGGCCCCACCCGACCCCCGGGGGTCATGATTTGAACAAATTTGAATCTACACTATCTGAGGATACTACCATATAAATATGACCAATTATGGTTTAGCTGTTCTTGAGAAGAAGATTTTTAAAGATTTTTCCTGTATATTTCCTATGTAAAACTTTGATCGCCCATTGCGGCCCCATCCTACCCCCGGGGGTCATGATTTGAACAAACTTGAATCTACACTACCTGAGGATGCTTCCACATAAGTTTCATGTTTTCAAGCACAGTGGTTCTTGAGAAGAAGATTTTTTAATGATGCCATTAATTTTTCACGAATTCTTAATTATCTCCCCTTGGAAGAAGGCGTGGCCCTTCATTTGAACAAACTTGAATCCCCTTTACCCAAGGATACTTTGTGGCAAGTTTGGTTGAAATTGGCCCAGTGGTTCTTGAGAAGAAGTCGAAAATGTGAAAAGTTTACAGACGGACAGACAGACGGACAGACGGACTACAGACAAAATGTGATCAGAAAAGCTCACTTGAGCCTTCGGCTCAGGTGAGCTAAAAACTACAAATATTTTTAAGGTCTTTGAAAACAAAACATACGAATGCTCCTGCCTTGCAAGAATATAGAAACAAAGCCTTTTATTTATATTCCTATATCCGATAATTCATTCGTTTTCAAAGATGGAACCATGATTTATCTTGAATGTGACAATTTTAGGGAGTTGTGGGACAGTTACGCCTCCTTTAAATCTACCGTTATGTAATTTGTAAACATGTACTCTGCCAAGATTGTTCAGGGGAGGAGTAAGTATCTATCTCCTCTGCCCTGACAAAGCATGAATGATACATTGAGGGATGCATACTACCAGACTTGCTTTGGAGACTGCATCTGACCTACATTTTCTGGAAGAGTGACCATGTTTAATTTTTTGGTATTGGGTCTATTTCCCATGTAAGTAAAATTCCAGTTTTGCATGGATGAAACATATAGGGATGCACTCTGTCATATTGTTTGGGATGCTCCAATTGACATACACTTTTTTTTTGATCAGTGATAGGTCTGTCTTGAAGCAGTTCCATTCTCAAGTAACTTAAAGCCCTACTTGTGCCAAACTTGCTTGGATGATGCATCTAGGTATAGGCACTTCTTGACATGCTTTGAATGCTGCATCTGACTTTTCCAGATCACTTAACTGTTAAAAGGTTTTGGACCAGGTCCGTTCCCAAGTAACTACTAGTATAAGCCCTACCCTAACCAAACTTGCTTGAAGAACTGTTATGTTTATTAAACATGCTTTGATTTTTTAGATTAAGGACTATGTTCACAGTTGAAAGTCTGCTGAATATACATGTATTCAAATACACCCGTAAACATAATTAACCTTAATATAACAATATTTTATTAATCAATAAAATATCAATAACATGTACAAAAGAAAGTTAATAATTTGCTAAATGACCTTGTAAACAAAATGATGATTCCCTGATATCTTACTTCATGAAAATGTACAAAAGCAAATAATAAACACATGTTTAAATACATGTATGTTTCACAAAAACAAAAATATTCAAATGCTACATTTGTATGTCAGTAGTTCTTAACAGTGAAAGTTGATTCTTTTAAATGAGACAAACAAACACACCCACAAAATGAATTTTCTATATTAGTGTACATGGAATGAATTACAGTGTATTGCATGTGGGTAAACATAACTGGAAGTCCATGCTGAAAAATAATTTCCAATTTCAGATTTTGTAGAGCATTTTTTACCTTAAGTTATAAACCTAAGCATGAACAAAGTAAACATGTTTATGCAATAAACATTCTATAAATTGTCAATATGAAAGACATGAAAGTTTTTATTGGATGCTGAGATTTTATCACAAAACAATACACTGTGAAAATCGATATTGCATGAGGTTGATTTTCATGTTTGTAAGGCAAATCCCATCTGCATTTGGAAATACTGGAACAACTGTAAAGAGAGATAAACTATACACTGTAGATCACTGTCTGTTGTAGAGTAACTATCTCATGTACATGTATATAGTGTTCAGGCTTTTATTCAGATAAAATGTTACAATTTTTTTTGTCATCATGTCTAAATCTAGAGGTTCATTTTTTACATGTAAATATAGAATGATGTGAATGTAAAAGTACAGACAACTTTTACTAGGTTCTTTATAATGAAATTCTTTTCAAAATCGGTTTTGATAGACTTATTCACAAAACAGAATTTTTAATTGAGTTTGTGTATACTGACAGAAAAATTGTATCTTGCATTTTCATGTAATGCTATACAGTGAAACCTCTTTATCTCGAACTTGATGGGACCAAGAAAAAAAACTTGGAGATATCCGAGGATTTGAGAAATTGAGGGTAAAATACTTAAAGAATAAGTAGTTGGGACTTCCAAATCACTTCGACATATCCATGATATTCGAGATATCAGTGTTTGAGATACCGAAGTTCAACTGTATATGTTTTTGCAGAGAACAAAAAAAAAACTTTGTGATTCATTTCCACGTGAGTAAAAGCCATGAGATATAAAGATCAAGATAACTTATTTTCAAACAATGTACTGTTCAAGTTACTTTAGGAATGACTCTAATTCTTGGCCAGATTATTTGAGTATAACCTGGTTTGGGTCAGTTTACGCTTTATAATCCGCGAAGCGGATTATAAAACAGTGTAAACTGACCTAAACCAGGTTATACTGGAATAATTTGGCCAAGAATTAGAGTCATTCCTAATAATTTAATTTCAAAATCATTAAATAACTATGGGTGTAAAATTTGGTTGCTTTTTTATTAGTACAAATTTGCTGCTCAATAATACAACTGTAGTAACGGAAGTGATGGGAAGCAAGGGGAGGTAAAAACTGATACATAGGCCTAGCAGCCTTGTTGTTTGTTTACATGTGGTAAGATCGAATTATTGTTTGAAGTTTAAGGTACATTTATTGAATCTGGAATTTTCCATGAATTCCGAGGACTGGAAATGAGAGGATTGTATGCCTACAGATGATTCAGCTGGTTGTCGGGGGGGGGGGGGGGGGTGTCCCCATACCACACCAGGTTATACAGAAATAATTTGTGTTCCTTTTTGGATATTAAGCAATCAGAGGCTAGAATACAAACAAAATTAAATTATTACAGAATATACATGTCTATGAAAATTTACCTTGATTTCATGATCCTCAGAGCCAGACAGGAGTGTGTCCCCATACAGAACTACTGCATTGACCCCTCCCTCATGTCTGTGGAGGGTCTGGATAGGCAGCATATTCTCCAAGTTCCAGATCTGTTAAATCAGAAACAAATGATTTTGTCAAGAATAGGGTACTCATTCGATTTTGTCGAGAATAGGGTACTCATTCAACAATTAAAAGTGTTAAAAATAATGTTTACACCCACTTAATATAATTACACTATACAATGTATATATGTGTATACACATGATATAAAAAATGATATTCAAAAAATTACCATTATTGTTTGGTCACTGGAAGACGAAAATAGAAAACGACCTGATGGGGTCACAGTCAGAGAGTTCACGACCCCGATATGACCCCTAAGGGAGGAGACATGCTGATTATTTGATAAACTGAACACCTGTATATTTCTGTTGTATGTACCTGTAAAAAAGAATGATTACTGTAACTGAAATATCTACCAGTGCTTTTATTTTTTTTTTAAAACTGTAACACTGTCTAATATGACAGTAAATATTTAGTACTGCAAATTCTTGTTTCATAATAGACATACACGTACTTCACAGTGATTTTTATTATTTGCTGTTTTGAAATTTAAATTTTAAAAATGTACCTGCAATGACAAATTCATGGGTGATTGCCAGAGAGTAAATTGACCCATAGTTGTGTGGAATGTTCCCTTTATGTTGGAAAGATCCTGAGGTGTTCCAAATGTCAATGGTATTGTGACATCCACTGTATAAGCTCTCCTAAAGAAAATATGTAACTTCATGTACATGTATTTACATGAATAAAGATCAATGTTTTATTCAGAAAAAAAATCCATGGATTTTGAAGAATCAAGTGGTTTTTGCATTATATACTGTTGTGTCTGAGTGTGATTATGTAATAATAAAGTTTTCTATGTGTCATTTGACTTGTTAACATTGACTTTGTGCCAACATAGTGATTTCAATTGATTGAATTGAAACAGTGTTTGGAAATAACACTGTATTTAAAATTGAACAAGCTTTTTGCAAACAATCTAGATAGAGTTTAAGTAAAAAGTACATGTATAACTTAACTAAACAATGCCTTATTCTTAATTATTTACCCAAAATTTTTGTATATCAAAATCAAACAGTTCCATTTAGTGTGCATACATACTTTGTCTTGACTTACTACCAGGGCTCGGACCCAGTGGTGTAATCCAGATATTGTGTGTATTAAAGACAGGGTCTTCATGTCCCAAACCTACAAAATGTACAATATACAATATTTTTAAAAAAAAAAAAAACATCCTACTGATTACAACTAATGGATCTGAGAAACTAACGTGGTACAGTTAAAAAATGTTGAGATCAGCAAACTGAAAAATTATATCAGGCTAATGACAGAAAGTATTTTAATATTGAAACACCACAGAGAGAGAGAAAGAGAGAGAGAGAGAGAGAGAGAGTTTCAGCATTAATCTAATTTTCATGTGTATACATTTATATCTTCATGTTATATTTGTAGATGCTGAAGAGATTTAAATTCATTAAAATTTTAATTTATATTAAAGATTAGACCTCTTTCCTTTATACCTTTATTAGTGAGTATGATGCAGTAAATAGGTTGTCCCCAACAACTACCATGGAACTGATCAGATTATCATGGGCATTCTGGAATATAAAATAGTGATAAAGTATAAAGTAAAATGTAAGAAAATCAATGACAGACATATCACCACCCAAGAATAACATGCTACAGTTTGCATGTATGTAAGTTTCTCCTCAATCTGCAATAGGTCATGGATTAAGAACTCTATATAATGCAGTATCACGACTTATCACTACATTCCTTTTGCTCTAAGATCATATACAGAAAGCCGTATCTAGCTGAGAACTCTCCACTTACAAAGACACAGTTTTCCTGTGTGTTAGAATCCAGATTCCAAACTCTGATGGAGAGGTCGTCTCCCCCAGACACCAATGTATTCTCATAGATGGCCATAGTATGGACCTGTCAATGTACAGTACTACAAGTCAATGTATTAGTGTAGAAATTAAGTGTCCTTTTAAGTAAAACGTTTCCATAAATAATGTAATACATGAAAATCATACTCCATGCACATTTTTCCTTAATGCATCTGTAAATACCAAAGATACATGCATGTACAAGTCATTTAAATTTTTAGCTGCAACATTGACCCAGACACAAAAATTTCTCTGTCTAGTACTCACCACTCCGGTGTGACCCTCCATGGTTTTGATGCAGCCATTGGTGACAACATCTAGATCCCAGACTTTGATCAAACTATCCCCTCCAGAACTATACAATCTCTGTTTGTACAGAGCCAGGCACCAAACTTCTTTCTTGTGGCCTCTGGAAACATTCAAAATCTAGATTAATTGTGAGAAAAAGATGGAAATATTAAAAAGAATTCAATATATCAAAATCATTTGTTTTACATGTAGAAACAGCAATACATGTGTACATGTACATTATTTCTTCAGTTTTTAAAAATTTCTTTCTTCTTTTCTAATTCATCATTAATGACAGACCAATTAGCCCACAACAATCACCAGAAAAACATGGCGCTTCCTTTTTTTGAAGGGGGGAGGGGGGGGGCTCACAAATCCAACCCTTAGGACCAAAGTGTGAACAAATCTAAATTAAGACTACATGCTTCCAAGTAAACTTAACAAGATGTAGCTTTAATTTCTGTGCCACGCCCTTATTTTCTAAGTACATGTATTTTACCCTGGATATCTCAAATCTCCGGATATCTTGCAGTATTTTCTCGGTCCCATTAAATTCAAGATATAACAAACTCAATATAACCTCAATATCTTGAATCTTCAGATATCTTGAAGATTTTTCATGGTCCAGTCGGATTTAAGAAAACGAGGTTTAACTGCATTTTTATTGCCCAGTGGTTTCAGGGTTCTTACCTGAGGGACCCTATACATTTGAACTGGAAAGGCATTTTCCAGGTTTCTGGTCTCAAATTTGCTGGAGGACTGAGCTTTGGACCTACTCAAATTAAAAAAGACCAAAGTTAAAAGTGTTACACATGCATATGAAATTAAAAAACATTTTTTTTACTTTTATGCATCCACAATGATATGCACACATACCTCTACCTTTTTTTTTTTTTTTACAATACTGTTATCATTTAGAGACACTCTCAAAACAATTATTGTTAATTTATATGAATCAACATTTAGTAACCATGAAATGGTAAAATTGTAAAATTAAACAGCCTGCCACACAATTTCTTACATTTATCTTTTAATCTAATCTACATGTATTTATACTAGGAACCTACTTTGACCATCTAGGTACATTTTTTTAAAGAATGTATAGAATTTATGTAGTCTATTCAATATGTAAGAAAGATATACAGGCAGGAAGTATCTTAATAGTTCAATTCTTTAATTATACAATGGCTTTAATTTTTAATAAGAGCATTAGTTAAATGAATTAAGTATGCACTAGGTTTAATAGTATTAAAGGAATAACTGTCATTTTTTGTGCATTTTAAAATGTGATAAGCAACCAGGGAGCAAGCATCAATTTAAATATGGTGTCGAGCCTTTATGCAAGAATTGTCATATCAAAGATTTCATGTTGGTTGGATTTCGTCTTCCCACACTCCAAAAAATAGACACCAATTCTTTACATTTACGTTCTAAACTTTAAAAAAATTCTCTCCCCATTCTAGCCTTTTATTCTAGTACTGTAGATAAGTTTTTATTATTGAGAACTTTATTTTGGCATATTTAAATGAGATTCACTTCTGGCAAAAATTTCATAATACAAATATAGCTCTTTTATGAGATCGATCCATAGATATATCAACTTCACAGACAAGCATATCCACTGAGCATGATGGATTGACCGAATCAAGGGCTACATTTGTTAGGCCAAAATAAAATTATTGTTTGTTTGGAATTGCCTCCTGCCTCATTGAAATGATCACTCCTGGAAAAATTTTATTGACCAAAAATAAGATTTTTTTTTTATTCAATCAATTCTTGGCCTGTTACCACATGTGCCATCCAATCACTTAATAAGTGTAGGATCTAAGCAAAACTGGGTTCCTGGTTGATACCCTTTACAAAGAGGCAGAAAATAATGTGTTCATTCCTTATCGAGATATTTATCATCAATTTTTAATTTAACTTTAATTTTGAAAAAAAAAAAATTCCCTCCCTCCCTCCCTCCTGGGTCTGAAACCTCCCAGGCAGCAATTCCAAACAAACATTTTTTTTAAGGATGGCCTTATATCATTTTCTTTGGAAAAGAAAGAGACAAACAAATTCATTATGTCGGAGTTTCCAAAGTTATTTTCAACTCAGTATCGTTAAATATAATTTTGCATGTGATAGCAAGCAAACCAATCAGATTTCTTTAATTACACAGTAAAAATAATATTCTCAAGTATATTTTTATTATTTTATATTATATACAGCAATAATCAACACTCATGACAATTTGTCTTGATTAAAGTTTATATATACTAAATGATTTTTTTCACAAAAATAAGGTGTCACAAAAATTTGTTGACCTACAGTAAATAGATCTAATTCAAATTCTGACATGTGATCCCTGGTGATTATGATCATATAACCATGAATGGTACAGGTATGGTTATTATTTACAAAATGTTGTCAAGTGTAAATATAATGAATATAGGAGAAATATTTTGAAAGCTTGAGTTCAAATTTACTAAAGTATCTTAAAAGGAAAACATGCTTTTTCATACATGTAGTTTTATCAATTAATGATGTTTTAAATAAGCACAGAAAAAGTTTGTGTGTACATGAATATATTACCACCATATCCTGAGAGTAGACCTTTAAATTGTTTACAGAGTACATGTTTATTAACAATTTTCACTTACTTTTTTAAGCTACCAATATCTAGATTGTTACAATGTGTTGAGTATTTCGCTAAAGTGTAATTCTGTGGTTAAATTAGTTTTACTAGCATTTAAGAAAGGCACATAATTGCATAATAAAGATACATTAGATATGTGCTTAAAAGCAAAACCTATATATAGTAAAATTTGTTTAATATGAACACGGATATAGCAAGTTGATGGATATAGTGAATTGGGGGGGGGGGGGGGGGAATCCCCGGCAAAATCCTTAACAATTCCATGTAAAATATTACAGTTATAACAAAGTATTATTAACTGAATGTATGAATTCATTATACAGATATAACAAATTACAGATATAGCAAGTAAATTCACAGGTCCCCAGGATTTCGCAATATCTCATTTTACTGTACATGTACATATTACATTGTACTACAATAAGTACAGTGATTTTTAACTCGATCAATAAAAGACATTTCCTGTTCTCCTTCAATTAGTGGAGATTATAAATTCAACAGACAGGGAAATTGTTAAGGAATCATTACCTTATTCAGATAAAAAAAAAAAAACTTATTTAACTATGATCTCACAATACTATGGCAGTTCTTGCTTTTGCAGAATGTAATTAGTTATATTTAGTTATGAAAAATGTTTAGTATAGAAAACTCAGCAAGCCTTACTTGAGAAGCTACTGGTACTGCTAGTTCTCTGTTTAATAGCCTCCGCAGAATTTCCTGGTGATGACATAGAGCGCCGATTTCGTGACGTCATTAATTGTTCCACTAAAGTCTGAAGGGCTTCATGCTTCTTGTTTAAATTCTGAAAATTGCTGCAAAAATAGATTTTAATAGCTCTCATTTGACGAATTCATTTTTTTTTTTAGCAATATATAATATATAAAACAAATCAATGTATCATTTACATATTAAATGGTACTGAATTTCATGAATTTTCTGCTTTTTAAGCATTCTGACACACAAACATATAAATTAGGGATGTCAAAATATTTGTTTTCCTTAGTCGATTATTCAGTTGCATTATTCGAACGATAGTCGAATATTCAGAACATTTTCTGAAAATAAAATTTTATTTTAAACTTCACTGGTACATGACATATTTTTAACTAAAAATTCCTTTTACATAAATCTATTTAAAAAGTAACCTCAAAATTAAAGCAAGGTATGGATAACATGATTATATGAAATAAATTTAGAAACCTAATTCTCCAAAATGTATAATTTCTCCATCCATCGAATTCATAAACCTGTCTATACAGTCAATTTTTGTTTTAGCAAGCATTATTTAAAAATTGCCAGCTGATATTTTTTTTTAATTTTAATTTTTTTTTTTAGCTTATTATGAAATAAATAAAAATCAGGTGCTCGTGATATTGTTAAACTGTTAGATACTGCTTGTTCAATTGATTGCCATGGCTATCAAAATGTCCTTAAAAGGTAAGCGGATTGTTTTAATACATGTAATTATCGAAGTGTCAAAACATGTCCTGGCTATGGTGTGTTCCTTGGATTTGAACAATCCTAAAATAACAAAATATAATTGGTACAGGGTATAAGATCAAGCCCAATTGATAGTTTTCCAAACAAAGTCCAGTAATTTGATGGGTAATTTATTACAAAAACAACACAGGCAGTATCTGACATATAATTCCCGTGGTAGTGAAGCACTTACAACTACTGTACTTTCTTTAAGTACATGGAAAGTCAATCGTTTTTTGTTGAGGAAAATTTTCAACTGTCTTTGAGGAAAGACGGTTTCTCAGTTTTAAGATGAGAATTCCATCTCGTTAAATCACTCTTCTATTGCATTTATTTAATAATAATAATATTCGAATGTCGTTTCATTATTCGATTGTCTGTCCATTCAACTGAATAGTCGAATAGTCGACTATTCGTTGACATCCCTAATATAAATACATTTATATGTAAGTTCTCAAATTCTCTGTTTTTTTTTTTTAGAACACAGGAAACATCGGTAATAATATGAGCTTTATATACCTTAAAGGAATTACACATGTAAAACAAATGTCAGCACTGTAAATTCTTACATACATAATTATATCTATTTACTACCTTATTTGCAGTCAATACATATACATTAGTTCATGTACTACACATAAATAGAATTGATTTTAAACCTTAAACATGTCTCCAAAGCAAATTCCAGTGAGTTCTTGTTTCCTTCTAACACCTCCACTCGTTTTGTCAGACTGTCAAGTTTGTCTCTCAAACATCTGTTCTTAGCCTCTAATGCTTTTGTCTGAAAAACATGAATAATACATTGTAAGTCATTTGTTTTTGAGGTTTACATTAAATTCCAAGAATTTCATAATTTGTATATCATATCTAGGATTCTTTTTCAATATTAAACTGGAAATAAAATTAACATCTTTCAAACTTTTTATATTCAATCATTTTTTTTTTTAAAGTTCCATCAAGTTTGGAAAGAAATATACATTTAGTAGTTTGAGCAAAATCTTTGCGATTAATCCTTTAAATCAATTATCAGCTGATGCCAACCTGGTCTTGAAAATCCCTCTGGCTGATGCTGTTGGGCAGTCCTCTGTACCCACATGTTCCTAGGTGGTCTCTAACTTCATCTTGTCTCCCATGAAATTCACATCCTATGATTTTCAAAAAAGGTTTACATGATATTTCATATCATTAAGTGTATTTGGCATTGTCATCTTAAGTAAGGATTTGAAAGTACATTATCTTAACTTACAAATGATCTCATCTTACAATTTTAAACTGGATGAAAACAGAATTTCCCACTAACCTTTATCTTTGTGATCACATTCAAAGTATGGACAGATCTGTAAGTGTTGCTCAAGTTCAGAGGACCTGAATGTGCCACAGTTCTGTACATCATTAGGGCAAGGTTTAGGAGAAAATTCACATTCATCCTCATGTTGATGTCGATTTCCTAGACATCCATAAATTACAGATAGTTTTTGACTGGCCTGAATTTAGCAAGAGTTATTTCCCATTGGTCGCCATGTTGGAGATATCCAAGCCCGAATTCCTTCATTATTCAACCAATTTAAACTTGTCATTCTGGGCAATTGGATAAAGATAACACAATTTTTCTTATGAATTTATGTTCACTCAAGCTTCCTTTAATTCATAATTTTAGTATTTAAAAGATTTTTGCTCTTACATTACTGCAATTCAAGTTTAAAGTTGGTTGCTCAAAGAGGCAAATTCGCTAGTTGGACCTCCAATATGGCGCCCAATGGGAAATAACTCTTGCTTAATTCAGGCCAGTCGAAAACTATCTATAGAATGCATAATGATTACAAACCTAATAAACACAATTACTTTAGAAAACAAATGTATACTTTGCAATTTCTTTATAGGGTAACACCATTACGATTGTAAATATACATGCAATATTTATTTCTTACTGTCTCTTAAAGTATTATATGAACATATATAATCCTACTTTTACAATATTACCAATAATTATCTGTTCGTGGCAGCCTGTTGGGTCCTGAACCCAAGTTCCATTTTGTTTTCTAATGCCATATTTACAGTAAATCAGGAGTTCATCAATCTGACCAACAACAAGTCTGTAAAATAAAAGGATCTATCATCAAAAAAATTAAATTTACATTAAGTCATCCAAAATCATTGTAACTTGTTGTAAGGCCAAATAAAAAAATATGCGTGGTTCCGGTTACACCTCCAAACAAATTAGGGTAGGTAGGTATTGTTTTTTTTTTTTTTTTTTAAATATAATAAAAGTCAAAGATATCATTGAATGTTCTTGAATTAACTATTGGTGATATTGGTGAGATAATACTATTGCTTTCTTTCAAGTGGTGACATTTCTAACTGACAAAACACTTGTACTGCGTGATGAAACGATGTTGTCAAAGAAGGCCACCATTGCTGAAACTAAAACTAATACCGGAGCCAATGAGGGAAATCAGGGAAAATTCTGGAAATTTGAAAATTGTCAAAAAAAAGTTTAGGGTCGGGGGTATAAAATAGGGATGGTCGGGTAACCGGAACCACACATATTATTTTATTTGGCTTAAAGATTGACATATACATTTTGGATGTACCATAGCCATCAATCCTAAAGAATTAAAAAAAGGAACTGATATCTTTTTCAATTACATGTATTTTACATTCAAAAATTAGCTTGACACACTCACTAAAATACTAGGAGTATGATAACTACAGTACATGTAGTTGTAAAACAAAAAGATTAAGAAGATCTCTCTTTAAGCAAGAATTTTCAATGAAATCATTGTTTTTCTTGAGGGAAAAAAAATCTGAACCTTTTTGAGGGGACATTTGCACTTGACCCTTTTTAATGATTCTTAATAGTTTTGTCTTGTGGGTATCCATTTGAAATCTACTAGTTATTAATTTTTTTAAGCATAAACAAACGTTAATGTTTTCAATCTATAGAAATCTAAAATAAATTACACAGTTAAAGATACTCCCTAAATATTTCCTACTGATATGCACATCTGGAATATTTGCCATTTACCTGCGGGAATTCCCGTATTAAATCGGTATTTCCCAAAAAATTCTAGTTTAAATTTAGTATCGATTTTTTCTTTATTTGATTTTCTAAACATTATTTGATATTTTAAGTATCAGGTATTATTGAAAGTTTTAAAACCAATACATGTATTTCTTCTGATTAATAGTAAATGAAATGTTTTATTAAAATTTATATATTATTAAATCAACACAATAAATTTTAACCTGTTTAAAATAAGCTGGCTTGCATCGCAGGGCTCATTGTCCACAGGGCACCTGGAACATCCACTCGCACACTTCTTGCAAAACGTGTGTCCACATTTTATGTTTATGACCGGATTTTTATACAGCTGTTCACATACTGGACACAGGAAATGAGGGGTCAGTTTGTTCACTAAAAGAATCGGCTCTGTGTCGTCGTCGAGTGACAGACCTGCCATATCACGTCGATTTAACAAATTATTGTGTCAAAAATACCTTACATTGTTGAATTCAGCTAACCACTCCTATTATTCATATATTATCGTGTATGAAATAAACCGGGAAGTCCGGAGTGACTTTGTTTACCAAAACCTCTTCTGTGATTGAAGACAAAATAAGTACTATGTGGATGTAAACACAAACTGGAAACGACGCAATTCCGGAAAAAACATCTCCACAGTTGAGATGCATATCCGTTTTTACATGGTATTTGCGTACATTTTGACATTTCCCATCAGCAGTGTACACATTCTGTTTTGGTCTCTCTCTCTCCCTTTTTTAAATCTAAGTGAATTTCGAATTATTTGACCTTAATTTTTTTTTAAGGCACAGTAGAACTAGAGAATTTTTTGGAATCCCTGGCAAAATTCTTAACAATTCCTTTCAAAATTGTACCATTATAATGAATTCTGATATAACACATTTATGAATATAGTGAATAGATTTTAAGTCCCGTAGATGTCAAAAATAATGAAATTTACATCTTTTATAACGCATTTTCAAAAATCTCAAAATTCAAAATACTGATTTGACATTATTTTTGGTAATTATTTATATTTAAAATTTAAATCATTAACTACAAGGTAAGTTTTGTATAAATTTCTCTGAAAATATTTGGTAGTAATACTTGAAGGAAAATATGTATATTGCAAATTCGTTGTATACTTTAACGACTATAAAGAATTATGAATATAACAATTAAATTCGCAGGTCCTTGCTATAACCGAGTTTTACTGTATTAACCTACAATCTTTTCCAAATACTTTTTCAAGTTTAAATATCACACCATAATCATTAAATAGCTCAATAACAACTAAAATGTAATTAGTTTGTGGATTTATTTTATATATGTACATTTAATTTTTACATTATGCAATATCTTTATTCACTGCATATATTACACACATGAATGTAAAACCAGTCATGCATGCAATACATGTGAACTACAATATTTGAGTGTTTTTAATGTTAAGTTGTACCTATGAATGTCATGGATTGGTCATGTACAGAGACAGTGTTACTCACTTATAATCAGAGATAAAACAATCTTTTACATATCTCATACACAACCTTACATTTTTTCATCAATCAAACAGTAACAAAATATGAAAAGAAAAAAAAAACAAAAAAGCATTGCGATGTTTAAACATGAGGCATCATGGAGTTGACAAAAGGGGGGAGATTCAATTATGAAAATCAAGGGATTGTAGCAAGTCAATTTTAAAGATATGTTTTTAATTAGATATTTACCTGGTCTGAGGGACAAGGATTTAAAAAAGATCTTTTCAACATCAGAATAAGACTTAATATGCCCTCCTAACTAAAAAGGTTCTTTAGATTAAGATTTAATAAGCACACTTAACTAAAAAGGTTCTTAGAGATGGGATGGCAAAAAAGTATATGAATTAATATACAATGACAAAATTTAAAGCATATATGTTTCACTACAAAAAATCTATAACTGCTAAGCCATTTATAACTATTATCAAACAAAATTCATGCAAACTATACAATTCAAATTTCCAACTGAGTAAGTTGCCTGCACATGACAAGAGAAAACTAAATGAATGCTTTATGGCAATATGCTAGAGAACAGTTAACACCGATTATGATGTACATGTAATGATTTTAGAAAAAAAGAGTTATTTTTCTGACTTTTCAACTTTTTCTGATTTCTTTGGTGAGTCTACTTTTTTTTGCACTGCATAAAACATTTCCAGCGGCTTGTTGATACGCCAGTATTTGTCATTGACCTGTTCCAAGGTCATAGCACCACTGAGAGCTGTGTAGTTTCCAGGGTTACTTGCAATGTAAATTGTGTATTTACTCTCTCCACCTGATGAACTTGTTCCTGTAAAAAAGAAGTAATTTTCTTTTCAATATGCAGTACCACTTTTACAAGTTGTTCTACTTTCAAGGGTACACAAACATTGCTTGTGAAATTCAATGCCTCCACATGAGGACATTCTTTAACTTTGACAATATGAATCCTTGACCTGAATCTAATCTAAAACCCTGACCTTCATCTTGCAAAACCATTCTGAGGATCAACAAGTTTTGAAGAAGAAAAAAATCAACCCACATGTACACTTATGTAACATGACTGTATAATTAAAGATTCTAGAGAACTGTAATTTCAACCCAGATAGGTAGTATTATTTATTATAAAGTATAAATGACTACACTGGATACCAAATATTTGGACTTTTGTGAAACAAGTAAATGTAAATAATTGAACTTAATTCAAAACTGTTTAAACACGTCATTATAATTTTTATTATTACTTTTCCATACTTATGGCTATAAAGCTTCTTATACATGATCATAATATAAGTTTAAGTGAACCTTCACTCTATTACCTGCATCAACTACTTTGGATTCCAACGAGAGTCTTATTGCCAGGTACTTTGATAAATGGTCCACTGAAAAAATAAAATTCTATAAATAATCCTACATGATTACTAAATTACTGTCATCACTCATTGAAGCACATTTGAAGAGCATTAAATCATAATTTATAGTGAATGTATCGACTATGCAATCATTTCAGTCACAGAAAAAAAAATTACCAGTTGCATTAGCTGTTGTTTTTATATAACGAATTTGAGAATCGTCAGGCGATTCATTTTCCAAAGGTAATGGTCTGAATATTAATTCTATATCTCCCACTGGTTGAGGTAACTCTGGGAGGGGGGTGGGTTCTGTTGCTGCCTCTGCGAGGGAGTTTTCAGCACTAGAGTCGTCGGACAATGTCTTTGGTCTCTTTAGAGGTGTGTTTTCACTGGAAGCATTACTTGCAGTTTCCAAGCGGGACAAATCTGGCTCTGTGGCATGTTTTCTAACCCTTTGTGGTCTGCTTAAAGCTTGGACTCTCAATCCTTCTTCAATGCTAAAATAGTATGAAATAACATAATGTGACTCCAACAATTTATTTGTGACAAGGTGGTATGAAGCTGTTGATTTAAAACCAGGTAAATATATATAATACATATTTCAAATAGAGCCTAAAGATTTTTATTGAAGCAATTCTTTTTACACAGTAATTAATTGTTAGTTACGATACAATATAAGTGGAATTTTTAGTAAGATGCAAATTTAGCAATTTTATGATACATAGAAAGATAAGGATAACTTCCGATGTGGAATGAATGAACCTGCTAAAAATACCAAAATTGAATCCTCGCTAAAATTTCTGCTTATGCGGTATCAATTGCTTGCACTATAGATAATTTAATAAAGACATTAATTATCCTGACATCTCTGTGTGATCAATCACTATTATTCTATTTGTGATTTCCTATATAAAGTTTTAAGGGTAAAATAACTATTTTTTATAGTCTTAAAATTTTTATATATAGCAAAGCCATACCCCGGGATACAGTTTGTGCTGTCCATCCCTTTGCAAATTTTCAATCATTCAATTTTGCCACCAATTTTGATTTCTTACAATATGATTGGTTGGCATCTTTTCCTACACTGAAAAGTTCCACAAAGCATTACCCTGGGTATAAATTTGTGTTATCCAACCCTTAAAAATTATAATACACATCAGTATAATAAAGCGCTAATTAGCGCTTATCCACTGTTGGAGCTATCCCACTCGATCACAGCCAGTGGATAAGTGTATACTATAATGTAAATTCATTATTAAGTTAAAGATCAAAACTATCACCAAATTCTGATAAAAGATGAGTTACAAAGATTACTTTAGGGACTGAGAGAGGAAATCTTGAATTTAAATACTCTGCACATTATAATTTATATATTCAGTATAAGTACATCCTGGGTCTTATACCACGGTATTTACATTTCACAGTATCACATCAGCATTTACTAAATTTAACAATGACTCATTGCAGTTGTAACCGTAATGCACTGCTTTCCTGGTTGTATACCTGCTAGTAAGAGCCGTTGCACTATGTTGTTTGTTTAGTTTGGCAAGAACTCGGGCCTGATGGGCCTCATACTCGTCTCTGCTGGGATAAATCTTAGAAATCAAAGCGTCAAAGTTAGGATCAGGTCTAAGAGACCTCTTAGACACAAGTTTTTTGCGACATGTTGGGCATTCTTTGTTGCCACTGCGAAGTGCAGTTATTATGCAGTCCTGACAAAAGCGGTGTAAACACTCCTTTGTGGTCATAGTATTTTTTAACATATCTAGACATATTGGGCACATTAATTCACTATGCAAACTTCTGGGTGACACTGCTATCTCGGTATTGTCTGTTATTGCTTCTTGGGGTGTCCTGTGCAGTTCGTACAAACTTAATTCCCATGTTTTATTTGGTGCATTTACCACCTCGTTCGCCATTTTTCATCGATTGATTACACCGGATGTAGATATGGAAGATCTAAACCAGTAACGAAACGAAATATTGTACGGAAACACAGAGGGGTAGGCTCATGATTGTATCATGTTCGTATTGTACACTATACAAAAATATAATACGTTAAATTCTATAGATCTATGTGTGGAATGTGTGTATCCAAACAAAACATAAAAAAGAAAACACTGATGCCCCGTATGGTTACTTATAGCGAAGGTTAAACTTTCTCCAATGCAAATCAATATGTTGGTACACAAAGTAAGGTCTTGTCCCGAGGAATATACCTATGGAATATGAAAGCCATAGCAGCAGCCATTGAAAAGAAATGGAAAAGGTTAAAGTTTTTCAAAAGTAAGTCAAACATCAAGGTCAAGGTCAAACCGTCAAAATTAATTGTGCCCAAAGAAAGACCTTCTCACAAGAAATACACATGTCGAATATGAAAGCCCTAGCACCAACCGTTCAAAAGGTATGGCTAAGGTTAAAGTTTTTCAAAAGTAAGTCAAACATCAAGGTCAAGGTCAAATCGTTAAAATTAATTGTGCCCAAAGAAAGACCTTCTCACAAGAAATACACCTGTCAAATATGAAAGCCCTAGCACCAACCGTTCAAGAGATATGGCTAAGGTTAAAGTTTTCCAAAAGTAGGCCAAACTCCAAGGTCAAGGTCAGAGGGTCATAGTTCTTGGTATCCAAAGGAAGGTCTTGTCACAAGGATTATATATGTGAAGTATGAAAACCCTAGCGCCAACCGTTCAAAAGTTATGGCCAAGGTTAAAGTTTTACAAAAGTAGGTCAAACTCCAAGGTCAAAGGGTCAAAGTTGTTGATATCCAAAGAAAGGTCTTGTCACAAGGATTACATAGTTGAAGGATGAAAGCCCTAGCATCAATTGTTTAAAAGTTATGGCCATGGTTAAAGTTTTTTAAAAAAGTAGGTCAAACTCCAAGGTCAGAGAGTCAAAGTTGTTGGTATCCAAAGGAAGGTCTTGTCACGGGGATTACATATGTGAAGCATGAAAGTCCTAGCACCAACCGTTCAAAAGCTATTGCCAAGGTTAAAGTTCGGTAAAATTTTGCAAAACCGGGTCAAACTCCAAGGTCAAGGTCAAAAGGTAAAAAATTATCATATTTGGGGACTAGAGATTTTGACTTCATGATTTTAAGGTATTCAATGTATAATGAAAGGCTATTGAACAATTTTGAATCATTTTAAACTAGATATAAACATGTAATGCCAGAAACAATGAAAGTGAAATGAACCAAATTCACATGACTTTTAACATATAAGAAGCCGGCCATTTTGCATCTTAAATGTTTTTGAAGAGTTATCTGCCCTTGATGAAAAGAAGAAAATTTTAATTTTGTCAAAATATCTGTGGTAAATGTTTAATTTTATTACTGATTTTAATAAAGAGAGAGTTTATGCATATTTTCACTAAGAGATTTGTATGAAATTCAAATTACTTTTTTACAGTATCTTAATAATTCCTGTGCTGCCCATAGACTTCAATGTAAAATTCAAGGTGCTATTAATTGGACAACTATCAAAATTTTGTAAATTCCTTTGGTGGAGTATTTTTATTTGATAAGACCTTCAAAATGCTACCATGATTAAAAATATCGGAACATTCATTTATTAGATACAAAATATGGTCGTTATACATTGAATACCTTAAGGATCATTTTCAATGATCATTGTATCACATTTTGCTTAGGATCATATGAAATAGAAAAAAAAAATATGAGAATTCAATAGGGCAAAATTGACCTCATAATAAGTTTTGTTTAGTTTCTTTATTCCCCCGTATCGAAGATTCGGGGTATATAGTTTTTGCCCTGTCCGTCCGTTTGTTTGTCTGTTTGTCTGTAAAAACTTTAACATTGCCCATAACTTTTGATTGGCTGGAGCTATGGCTTTCATATTTCACAAGTGCATTCCTTGTGACAAGACCTTTCTTTGGGTACCATTATATTTTATCTTTTGACTTTGACCTTGGAGTTTGACCTACTTTTGAAAAACTTTAACATTGTCCATAACTTTTGAACGGTTGGTGATAGGGCTTTCATACTTCACATATGTAATCCTTGTGACAAGACCTTCCTTTGGAGACAAACAACTTTGACCCTTTACCTTGACCTTGGTGTTTGACCTACTTTTGGAAAACTTTAACCTTGGACATAACTTTTGAACAGTTGGTGCTAAGGCTTTCATATTTAACATGTCTATTTCTTATAACAAGACCTTTCTTTGGATACCAACAATTGTAATCCATTGATCTTGGAGTTTGACCTACTTTTGAAAAACTTAACCTTGGCCATAACTTTTGAACGATCGGTGCTACGGCTTTCATATTTCACATGTCGGCTTGGCCAAGATCAGGTGCCCATGTTGGTTGCAGATTAACAAAAAAATGAAGTCAAACGAAATGTATTACAAATTTGTTCTATGTAACACTACATCCTTTTGGCAGATTGTCTGAAATTTCTGTCCATTTCTGTCAAGCGGTTAAAAAGATTTCACTCTTAATATAGCAGAGACCCAAATGGGCTACGGACTATACATATTCAGGCATAACATTTATCTTTATCATATTCAACTAAACAAAAAAAGTATAATTCAAATACAAACTCTTCACAAAACATTGTCTGAGCAAGAAAAATCACATAACTCATTTCCATTAAAATGTTACAGTGTATAAAGGACATGGGTAAATTTGTTAATCTTTGGGAGTCTTTCTACTCTTATTATTTGGACATCTGAAGTAAAAATACATTAAAGTACTTTCATTTTTTCTAAAGATATCGTATGTGGGGATGAAAATTTCAAACTTATTTGGTAATATTCAGAGAAAAACTGTGTCAAACATTTTTTGATTGACTATTTTGAGACCCCGGGCTACGGACTATACATATAGTATTTTTCATTTATCGAGAGACCATAGAAAAATACCTGTTTGTATCAGTAAATATTTGTTAAAATTGTCATCATGGAGTTTACACGTGTCTAATAAATCATTTCATTTGGATATTAAATCAATTTATACAAAAATCCTGTGAAATTTAACAAAATAAAACGAAAAACTTCAAATAAATTCACAATACGAGTAAAATATAAATTGTCAGAACAAAATAATACATGTCAGAATTACATGTAATTGGTGTTTTGATAACAAAATATAGTTCAAGACCATCTGGAGACCAAGAATGGGCTTTAATTTAGCATCTGTGATGGCTGGATTTCATGTGAGCACTGGGGCTACGGACTATACCGTTAAACATCTCTATTGTGGACAATCAACTTAAAGAAAATATAATTGAATAATTAAATTTTGGGCATTTTTTTTATTATTTTGCATTCTATAAAAGTTCACGCTCCTGAGTTTGAGTATTCAAAATACCATATTTAAAAATCAATTGTCTAATGTATTGTGTACTTTCAACGCCAAATGAAATTCCAGTTCAACTAATTAATGCATTATTGGGGTTCAAACTATAAAACTATAATGAATAAAAGCAAAAGGAGCTGTATTTAAATCAAGGCATGATTTTTTTTTTTGGGGGGGGGGGGGGGTTACAGACTATATTGCTTCATATTTTTTTTAATTTTAATGTAATACATGGAGCTCAAGGTGTTCATTCAAAAGATATATTGGTATATAATATCTTATGATCATATGGTGTAATTCATAAAAAAGTTACAAAATATGATTTGAAGTAAAAACATGATAAGTACAATATTTATCCATCAAGAATCAATGCTTTTTTTTTTAAATTAACAATTCAGTGACAAGTAGATTGAGTGGCAAAATTATAAGAGTGAAGGTCTCACTTTGTACTAAATTGCAAAGTAAGGAGTTGATCCTTATGTTTTGGGATCAAATCCCACTGTGGGATGTTAAGACTGGTTGATGAGAAGTAATAAACCATTCAAGCCCAATTTTGCAGTAGATGCAGGCAGGAAAAAAAATCTTGCTAATACAGAAGTACGGCTATATGGTCTGTAAATTTGCTAAATTTATTTGTAGAGTCCGTAGCCCTTTTGTAAGTAGGATTTTTGTGGCCAAATATCCTTTTAAAAATATTACAATGCAAATTATTCTAAATGGATTGACAGTATGTATCACAAGAAGGGAAACTTGTTCATGTATATTTAGAAATATGTTGTGACCACAAACATAACAAGACAGACTACAGAAGCAAGCCTTCAGTTGAAAAATATTAATTTTCAGACATCTCATCTTTAATTACAGTGGTATTTGTATTTAAAAACATTGCATTTGTTTGAATAAAGATATTATTGTATTGTAGTTATTGTATCAATAATGTATATGACTTTTTCTGGAAGCTTTTATATTAGGGCTACGGACTATACAGGGCTACGGACACCAATTATTCTTTAATAACTTCTTTTGATGTTAGCGCAAAAGCTATTCATTACTGTTTTTTTATTTGACTGGTAACTGTGAAAATATCAAACAAGAGCATGATTAATTATACATTCTTTTGTTGAACACAAACTATAATGAAATATGGGGCTACGGACTATACAAAAACTTTGACCAGTATGGGAAAAAAATTACAAAATGTGCACACATTTTACCATATAACCACCATATTTTTCTCATAGTACTTTTTTCTTAAGTAAGATAAACAAAATTTAAACACATTATATTTGCTCTATTTTGCTAAAAATTATGCATTTATTCCAACATTGATAAATCTTAAATTATATAACAAAGGTATATCTGAACACATTTATTCATAATTTCCACAATTTTTATCCTTTTTCTTTTCTGTAAAAAATAAACTAAACCAGAGTGATTTTTCTATAAGTAAGTATATTTATTTTTAAATGTTTCATTCAAAATAATTTTAATTAAGCATTTTTTAAAATGTAAAAAATCAAGTGCAACAGCATAACGCTTCAAAAATTATGAATCTGTGACTTTATTCTGTTGTTTTTTCAAAGACGCAGATACTATATATATGATATTATATACCAATGGAAAGCTCTCATTCTGCTCTTTGCAGATTTAGATTAGATGTAACTATAAAGAGTTACATCTATATAACAGCATTTAGTTGGAAATGGGCACCTGATCTTGGCCAAGCCGATGTGTATTCCTTGTGAGAAGGCCTTTCCTTGGGCACCATTAATTTTGACCTTGGCCTTGATGTTTGACTTACTTTTGAAAAACTTTGACCTTTTCCATATCTATTCAATGGTTGCTTCTAGGGTTTTCATATTTCACAGGTATATTCCTCGAAACAAGACCTTACTTTGGATACCAACATATTTAATTTGCATTTGAGAAAGTTTAACCTTTGCAATAAGTTGCCATACGGGGGCATCAGTGTTTCACAAACACATCTTGTTTTTATAAAAGTGGTCAATTGATGTGGTCAGCTAGAAATTAAAACTCGGATTAAAGCTTGAAAACAACCATTTCATGTATAATATTGTGTTCAGCTTGAAGTACAAAACGTCAAAATCAGGGGAAATATAAAATATAACGCAGATTTTTTTTTTCATTTGAAAATGAGTAGGAAAATTCGCATTTCCATGTTGCACGACATATCAAAATTAAACTGATCCCAACCAGAACTACATGTATATGCTTTCATCATAAGACAGTCATACCCGCACGTCGAAGTGTTTGCTATTAAATGTAGGCTAGCTCCCTTGGTAGCGAAGAAGCCACAGAATTTATTCTATAATTTACATAAAATATGTATACAAGTAACAAATTGAGCATAAAATGCACAAGTGAGCATTTGATCATGGGTCTCTTATCTTAGTATTTCAAATAATAAATTCATTACCAGTCTGAATATAAAGATTATGATGAATTAATTCTGATTTTAAAAGAGGTAGTTTCAAATTTTTTTGTAAAGAAAAAAAAAAAAAGAAAAAGAGAAACAAATCGGCCCAAATTGGAACTTTTAAAACGTCATTTTCGACCCCCGTTTGGTCCCAAGGGGGGAAATGAAAATTCCGAAACCTTATTGCACATCTGCACGTCATCCCAGGCATCTTGTAAAAAAAATGAAATGGCTACTGCAAAAATGTATGAAGAGTTCTGGAAACCAGGTTTTTGTAAAATGAAAAACGTTTTTTGACCCTCCCTCATTTGGCCCCCCAGGGTAAAAAAGAAGATTCCAAAACCTAGCTTATTGCACATCAACCAGGTTTTGTAAAATTAAAAACGTTTTCGATCCCCATTTGATCCCTAAGATGTGAATGGAAATTCCAAAACTTTATTGCACATCTCAAGACACCCCCTCCCCTCCAAAATCATTTTGCAAAAGATGAAATGACTACTGCGTAAAATTATGAAGAGTTCTGGGAAACAGAATTTTGTAAAATGAAAAACTTTTTTTTACTGTCCTACAGTCATGCATCTGTTAAAAATTAAATTACTATTCAGCAACTCATCTATTTTATCTCAGTTACGTAATATAGGATCATGTCCAAATAACAAATATTAATCAAAATAGAAGCCCCCGGAAAATAAGCACATTACCTATAAAATAACGGCTTTGGATGTTACTGTATCAGTATAGCAAGTGCCTGGAAAGGATGAGGCAGCTGAAACTTTTGTCCATTATCCTGGTTTTTGGACTTTTGTTTGCGACTTGTTCTGAAGGACAAGGCATATATCCTGGAAGTAAGTGTTTCTCTAAATATTTTGAAAAATTGGTACTTTTTAATCTAATGATTTCTTATTATCAAAACATTTTTGTTTTTGCAAAATGAACACTTGGAAATATATCATGTAAATTTTGAATTTACTAGGTTGAGGTAAATGCAAAATTTACAACCTGATAACTAGTTAAATATCAATAATGCGATTATTCTGACTATTGCATATCTAAATTTTATTGTGTGTGTGAGGGTGTGTGTATGTATATAGCTACATGTATGCAAGTATGACATTATGTATTTGCATGAAAATTCATCAGAAATTTCTCTTTGCGGTTTTAATCCTATTGTATAATCGTAATCATGTAGACATGGAAGGAATATCGAAAGCAAAACCATACACTTTCTGAAAGTTTTAACTGAGAAGATTAAATACTCTACTATAATCTCTACAGATTATTACTTAAGTTTACTTCTGATAATGTTTGCCATCATCTCTACGGATCATTTATCTTACTTTTGATAATGTTTGACATCATCTGTACAGATTGTATACTTTACTTTTGATGTTTGCCATCATCTCTACAGATTATTTACTTTACTTTGATAATGTTTGCCTTCTTCCCTACAGATTGTATACTTTACTTTTGATAATGTTTGCCATCTTTCCTACAGATTATTTACTTTGATAGTGTGCCATCATCCCTATATTTTTTTTCTATACTTTTGATGGTATCTGTCATCATCTTCCCTACAGATAATTTACTTTTGATAGTATCTACCATCATCCGTACAGATTACTAGTATATTTACTTTACTTTTGATAGTATCTGCCATCGTCCCTACAGATTATACATGTATACTTTACTTTTATTAGTATCTGCCATCATCCCTACAGATTATACATGTATATTTTACTTTTGATAGTATCTGCCATCATCCCTACAGATTATACATGTATACTTTACTTTTGATAGTATCTGCCATCATCCCTACAGATTATACATGTATACTTTACTTTTGATAGTATCTGTCACCATCCTTACAAATTACTAGTATATTTACTTTACTTTTGATAGTATCTGTCACCATCCCTACAGATTATACATGTATACTTTACACTTGATAGTATCTGCCATCATCCTTACAGATTATTTACTTTACTTTTCATAGTATCTGCCACCATCCTTACAGATTATTTACTTTACTTTTCATAGTATCTGCCATCATCCTTACAGATTATTTACTTTACTTTTCATAGTATCTGCCATCATCCTTATAGATTACTAGTAGATTTACTTTACTTTTGATAGAATCTACCACCATTCCTACACATTATACATGTATACTTTACTTTTGATAGTATTTGACATCATCCTACAGATTATACATGTATACTTTACTTTTGATAGCATCTGCCACCATCCTTACAGATTACTTGAAGATTTATTTTACTTTTGATAGTATCTGCCATCTTCCCTACAGATAATTTACTTTTGATAGTATCTGCCATCGTCCCTACAGATTATACATGTATACTTTACTTTTGATAGTATCTGCCATCGTCCCTACAGATTATACATGTATACTTTACTTTTGATAGTATCTGCCATCATCCCTACAGATTATACATGTATATTTTACTTTTGATAGTATCTGCCTTCATCCCTACAGATTATACATGTATACTTTACTTTTGATAGTATCTGCCATCGTCCCTACAGATTATACACGTATACTTTACTTTTGATAGTATCTGCCACCATCCCTACAGATTATACATGTATACTTTACTTTTGATAGTATCTGCCATCGTCCCTACAGATTATACATGAATACTTTACTTTGATAATATCTGCCACCATCCTTACAAATTACTAGTATATTTACTTTACTTTTGATAGTATCTGCCATCATCCCTACAGATTATACATGTATACGAGGGGTTATCAAAAAGTTCGTGGACTGAGTCGACAAAATTAGTACTATGTAGTCTGTGCTTTCAAAATTTATAAGGAACATAAAACAACAAAAAATAAAGAAATTTAGAAAATTTTAGCTTGATACCTTCATTATTTGCCAAATTATTATAAAATGAAAACGACATTATATGATCACCCGGCGCTGTCTCCGTTTAGTTTCATGGCGTCCGACAACGTCGTTGTTATTCAATGTCCGATTCTTCTACCTCATACACTTACCTTGATGAGATTCCTGGAGTTGAGTAAGGACTTAAACCCGTCCTGTTTATATGACTTTACAATGTCATGAACAGCTGCTTTCATAGCATATAATATTGCAAATGGATTTATACATAAGGAGAGATCCTCGCTTGATTATGCCAGCATATTTTGCTTTTTGAAGTTCATAATTTATCACACATGATCAACTTCATTTTTTGACGTGATTGACTTTTCACACATTGACTACAAATCGACATTAACTGTGCATCCCTTTTCTCGCTGAATACATTTTGGCATTAAAAAACAAGTACATGTACTCTAGATGCATTTTATTTCTCTGTAGCCAGTTTAAAGATTTCATAGGCCTATACCAGTTTTTTTAGGGACAAAACTTTGTAGAATGTTGGAAAAAGAAACCCCTCTCCCTTTTTGACGTCATTTTCAAGCCCTTAATTGTTTGGACACTCGAAACAAAATTTACGATAAAATTTCATAGAACTTACAGAATGAGGTAAAAAAATGCATATTTTACGGAACAATAGTGTCCCATCACACACTTGAATTAACGGGATTTTTGGATGTCAAATGTTCATAACAAAATAGTTTTTCTCAGTAACACTCAGGTCGAAAAAACGTCATATTCGAGGTTGCGCCGCCTGGACATACCATTGCTTACAAAAACATTACTAATTTATTAAAAAAATAAAATTTATGATTTATGGTTTATTCTTTAGATAGAAAAGATGATGCTAACTAAATATTTTAAAATTCATTCATGTACCTAAAGCAGTTTTAATTTTATGGCGCTAGTCCACGAACTTTTTGATACCCCCTCGTACTTTACTTTTGATAGTATCTGCCATCGTCCCTACAGATTATACATGAATACTTTACTTTGATAATATCTGCCACCATCCTTACAAATTACTAGTATATTTACTTTACTTTTGATAGTATCTGCCATCATCCCTACAGACTGTATACTTTACTTTTGATAATGTTTGCCATCATCCTTACAGATTGTCCACCAGTATGTAGGAATTATTGTCCGTTTGGCAGAGTGTATGTCGATGGATGTCCAACTTGCACATGTATAATACGTAAGTTTATCTACATAACTACCTTGATCTGATGATTAATCTTTTTCTTCCAATTCCTCTCTCTAATCCAAGTCGGTCTCATTTCAAATATTAAAAATATCTTTTCCGCGTTAGTTACATGTAGGTAAGTCTATTCTGAACAAAATAATATATGTACCTGTATTAAGTTATCATGGTCAATTAAAAATTCTTTCCAACATTGTGATTTTTTTTTCTTTTTATTCCAGCCGGAAATAATGACCTACCAGATTGGATACGATAGAACTTTGTACTGAAAGCAAATAAAGAATATCATGCTCCTCGTTTTTTTTGTTTAGGGAAAAAAATACAAGGAAAGCAAAGGCATTTCATGTCAAGATAACAGGCATATATCCTAAACGCTCATCTGACTCAACCCCCCCCCTCTCTCTCTCTCGTGTGTGTGTGAGGGAGGTTGTGTGTGCATGTGTGTGTATGTGTTGTTGCCTCCATAAAATCATTTCTGATCCATCATCCAGCATTTCTTATACTGTTCAGAAATAAGCAACACGTACTGATTCCCAAAATCTGTACACTCAAAAACAATAATTTAAATTGTGTAAACCCAAAATTAAGGTGTTCTGTGAAAAGAAAATCAGATTGACGCACGTTCATGATACATCTTAACAAGCCTAAATTTAGAGAAAAAAGTGTATTTCCAACAAGATCTGAAATGAGATTATGTCAAAGCAAAATTTGACTGGTAACTTTAATTATACCACCCGCAAACAAAGGGATGTATATATAAGAATCACCTCGTCCGTCTGTCCGTGCAATTTTGTCCGGGCTATAACTTTGTAATGGAGAATCAATGGAAGCTCTTACTTGGAACAGAGATTGTTTATGATCCGAGGGTGTGTCAGGACCTTAATTCAAGGTCATTCAGGCAAGTTCAAGGTCACTGGCAGAAAAAGTATAAAATTATTAATGTTCGGACTAATTCTCTGTAACAGAAAATAATTGGAAGCTCTCACTTGGTACAGAGATTGTTCATGGCTAGAGGTTCAAATGTCATGACCTAACCCAAGAACATTTTGGCAAGTTCAAGGTCACTGGTATCTTCACAATGTCAGGGTTTTGTGATATCGTTCCTCTGCACAAAATATTGACAAACGTACGGAAGCGTATTTGGGCCGCAGCAGTATCTTTTTTTTAATTTGTTTAAACAAATTATCAATTTGTTATAACAAATTAACAATTTGTTAAAACAAATTAGTAATTTGTTTTAACAAATTACTATTTTGTTAGAACAAATTAGTAATTTGTTAGAACAAATTAGTAATTTGTTATAACAAATTATCAATTTGTTATAACAAATTATCAATTTGTTATAACAAATTATCAATTTGATATAACAGATTAGTAATTCGTTATAACAGATTAGTAATTCGTTATAACAAATCACTAATTTGTTATAACAAATTACTAATTTGTTATAACAAATTACTAATTTGTTATAACAAATTAATAATTTGATATAACAAATTAGTAATTTGTTTTAACAGATTAATAATTTGTTATAACAAATTATCAATTTGATATAACAAATTGTCAATTTGTTATAGCAAATTAATAATTTGATATAACAGATTAGTAATTTATTATAACAAATTACTAATTTCTTATAACAAATTAATTATTTGATATAACAAATTAATAATTTGATATAACAGATTAGTAGTTTATTATAACAAATTATTAATTTGTTATAACAGATTAGTAATTTGTTATAACAAATTAGTAATTTGTTTTAACAAATTACTATTTTTGATAAAGTGAAGGTGTATACAGATCTATGGAAGCCAGTTCAGATCAGAAATCTTATCATAAGTTAGATTTTTGAAAACAATAAAAATATAAGCTCTGCAGCTACAGTTTTTGGCTAATATGTTAAACTGGATTTACATCTTTTAGCACTTAGAGTTTTCACTGTCAAACATTATTGTTATAAAGATACAATGTATCAAATTCTTTGGTTCCTAATTGCTTATTCTTAGGAGCTCTAATTGAATTTTGTCCTTCCGTACCCCCCTCCCCCCCCCTCGATTCATTATATACATGTACCAAATGATCTACTTTACCTACTGCTTTTCAATTTTTAAATGTACCATTAATTTTATGCATGTATGTACTTAGACAAATGGAGAGAGTATTATAGGCATTTATGCCTACTGTTCAATCCAGTTTATGTATAATGAATAAAATATATTTTAAAATAAACCACCGTTCCTAATGCAAAAAACCTGAATCTGCTCCTCTCGTGAACCTCTTTGGCCCCAATTTACGCTGGGGGCAATAAAGGCAACATGGACAAAAATGAATTTGTAGATAAATTATCACAGAAAAAATGATAAACACTCTGTAATAACCTTCTCTGAAAACGAAAATAAACAGTATTCTTGAGTGGGTAGTACTTGCTAAAATTTGAAATCAGATACCTTGTGTTATTTTTTTCATGTATGTATGTATTTTTTATAATCAAAATACGTGCCTTTTAGAAAAAGCCGTTAAAGTCCCACTAAAGCCTTCATAACTTATTATTGGCTGAAAACTTTGACAGTTATTTCTTCAAATACATTTGTAATTTGTATCCTGGTTGCCTCATATTGGACTACTCATATATTATACAAGAAATCGTTAAGCAATATAATTTGTTATGACAATACACACAAAATATTACACGTGTAAAGAAGAAAAATTAGGTCATCTCCCCTTTTGACCCCTTTGTTGACTTTGGAAAAAAGTGTTAATTTGAATGGACGACGTTTTAATCATATTTAATTGGTTGGAACTTCGATTTTTTCTCAGTATGAAGGATCCAACGTTCTATATTTCCTCTACATAATCTCTGGGATGCAGCTATTCTTTTAATTGTCTACCAGAGACATTTATTCCAAGAAACATACTCAAAGAAGAACCAAAAGAAGCAACAACAACAAAACAAAACCAAACCAAATTTAAAAAAAAAACTGCAATTTCGGTAAGAATAAAACCAAAAATAAAGTGCTTTAATCTAAGTTGCTGATTGATCTAAATCCATATTAATATATTGAGCAAAAGCTCTCCAAAGCTTATGCTTTACGTTTACATAAAACCGAATTAAAATAAGATTTCTGATCTGATCTGGCTTCCGTAGATCTGTATACACCTTCATATTTTGTCAAAAATAGTAATTTGTTAAATCAAAATACTAATTTGTTATAACAAATTACTAATTTGTTATATCAAATTAATAATTTGTTATATCAAATTGATTATTTGTTATATCAAATTATTAATTTGTTATAACAAATTACTAATATGTTATAACAAATTAGTAATCTGTTATAACAAATTAGTAAATTGTTTTAACAAATTGATAATTTGTTATAACAAATTGATAATTTGTTATAACAAATTGATAAATTGTTAAAACAAATTAATAAAAGATACTTCTGCGGCCCTAATACGCTTCCGTACAAAAGTCATTATTCAAAAGTCGGGCTAGAAAGCTGCCATTTTATGTGTTCCCGCTCTAGGACTTTGTCCAATCAGAAAACAGCCTTTGTTGTAGGTAAGTTTTGTAAACAAATATGACTTGTCTTTAAAATGGAAAATATCAATATTGTAAAATTTGCAACTAGTTACACTGTACCTCAGATAAAATATCGAGATTAATTTTTGGAAGATCCTCCTCCTTACAATAACAAAAGAAGTGCTGTAACTTTGAACCACTTGAAAATGACGGATTTGAAAGACATATCATTGGTTGTTTATAATTAACCATTTTGTCATGTGTAACCACAAACCCAACTTTTTTATAGCGACTTTTGTCAAGGGTTTGTGAAGAGGAACGGTATAACAAAAACCTTGATATTGTGAAGATGGGTCACTGGCAAACAAAAAAACAAAAAAATATTCTTGTACGGGCTATAATTTTATAATGGAGAATCATTAAAAAGCTCATACTTGGTATAGAGATTGTTTATGACTAGAGGGAGTGTCCTGACCTTGACATAAGATCAATCAAGCAAATAAGTTTTTTTAAGGTCAAAGCAGAAAAGGTATAAAAATCTTGTCCGGGCTCTAACTTAGTAATGGGAATCATTGGAAGCTCATACTTCACCCTAGGTCATTCCGGTCAGAAAAAATATAGAATTCTTGTCCGTGCTATATAACTTTGTAATAGAGAACCTTTGAAGCTCATCCTTGGTATTAAAGTTGTATATGTCAGACTTGTGGGTTCGTCTTGACCTTGATTGAAGGTCATTCTAGCAAGTTCAAGGTCATTGACAGAAAGGGTATAGAATTCTTTTTTGGGCTATAACTTTGTAATGGACAATCATTGAAAGCTCATACTTGGTACAAACATTGTTTATGACTTGTGGATGTGTCATGACTTTGACTGAAGGTCATTCCAGCAAGTTCAAGGTCATTGACAGAAAGGGAATAGAATTCTCATCTGGACTATAACTTTGTAATGGAGAATCATTTGAAGCTCATACCTGGTAAAAAAAACCTTTATGACCTGAAGGTGTGTCATAACCTTGACCCAAAATAATTCTGACAATTTCATGGTCACTGACAGAAAGTATAAAATTCTTGTCAAGACTATAAATTTGTAATGGAGAATCATTTGAAGCTATACTTGGTACAAAGATTGTTTATGATCTGAGATTGTGTCATAACCCTGACTCAAGCTCAAAGTGGCAAACTCAAGGTCACTGGTATAAAAAGTGTAAAATTCATGAAAGGTCTAGAATTTTGTAATGGAGAAACATTTGATGTCTATATTCCACTAAAAGATTACTTATGACAAGATGATGTCATTTTTTAACCAAGGTCTTTTTGGCAAGTTCATGGTCATATTCACAAAATTTGTTTGGGCACTTTCAATAAAAATGCAGCGGGGGATATCATTTTGTGAGCTCGCCCACAGTACCTCTAGTTTATTGTGATTGGTTAATACTGCTGCTGTATTTATTGACTTTATTTAAAGATACCATGATATTTTAATACATTTAAACATTTTTTAACCCTTGAAAAAAAAATATAAATTGATCTTTATTTCCCATGGTATCCAGGTCCCCCTCCCCCTTAAAAATTTGGGGTTTTATAATTTTTGAATTTACTGAGTGGAAGTAAATGTAAAATTTAATCAAGATAATCATTAATCCTTGTGACAAAAATCTGCATCGTAAAATAATATTCTCGGAGGATGGTTTTGAAAATAAAATGTTTGATGAATATTTAGGGATCATGCATGAAAATAGTTATTCTGCTTTTGTTTACGTATTGTATAATTTCTTCATAATTAATTTATCTAAAGGTCCCTTAGATTTTTTACGGAGCAAGGTAGACATATTGTGACTTCTGACTCTCCAAGGCATTAGATAAAAAAAAAACACTGCATGTAAGGCCTCTCCGAGTTTAATACCCCCCCCCCCTTCTCAAAAAAGGAATATACAGAATACATGTTTATGACTCATCAATACAGGAAAGGGTTTTTTAGCTTGAAAATCTGCAAAAGCACATCTCCCCCCCCCCCCAAAAAAAAAGTAAAACAAAAATTATTTAAAAAAAAAAAAAAAAAAAAAAAAAACAAGATGTGTTTGTGAAATACTGTTGCCCCCGTACGCAGCTCAAGGCCAAGTTTAAAGTCCTTCAATAGTAGGTCTGACTCCAAGGTTAAGGTAATGAGGTCGATCAAAAATGTTGGTACCCAAAGAAAGCTCTTGTCACAAGGAATGCACATGTGAAATATAACAGGTCTACACCAACTGATCAAAAGGTATGGCCAAGGTTAAAATTTTGCTTACAAACAGACAGACGTACGGACAGACAAATAACTATATGCCCCCGAATCTCCGGGTCTTAAAAATCTTTAAGTGACCAATCAAAAATTGTTCAAAAATTGTTTTAAAATCAGAATTTTCTTTTCGTCTGTTCAAATAAATTCTCTTCAGAATACGAAGTTTTATTTGGCTTAAAAATATATATCACTGGGAATAGACTATGGTCGAATGGATTTTAAAGCTGTGTACATGTATATTGGTTTATCCCAGCCACGTAAGCTAGGCATGTGGATCATCATGAACTTAGTTTATCTTTTCAACATACATTGTTATCAGTCCAAATATACACCTAAATTTTCCATTCATGTTCGTCATTTAGCATCCAGTAGTGATGTTAATGTATGTTTTAAAACACATGCTTTATTTCATTCTCTCTCTCTCTCTCTCTCTCTCTCTATTATATGTAAAATAGGGACAAAAAGTTAGTGTTTGACCCAAAGGATAAAAAGTACATGTATATCACGATTTCTTCAAATATTATATCAGGAAGTTTAAGTTTAATTTGAATTCGAATATTCATTTTCGCAAATTGCCATCACCAAAACGATATTTTATATGAGTAGTATGAAAATCTGTTTTAATGCACACAAACTGCCAAATCAGTATCCAAATTCCCCTTGTGATAGGGACGCTTTTAAGCATGCTATGAATCTTCTGCCGCTCGATGCAAACTAAGAAAAATTCTGATATAGAATGAATACATGTGAGTTGAAATACCCAATATTTTGTATTTTACATAGGTTTTGCAGGCACATAGTATCGTTTTTGAAAAGAGAGGGAGGGGGTGGGTGGGTGGGGAGCAGGAAAAATAATTACAACTTACCTGAAAAATCTTTGACGAAAAAAATGTCCTAACTCGAAAATGCTATCATGCTATTTCGTACGATAGGTTCCAACTTTTTAACAACATTTTTTCTTAATGCATTAGCTAGCATAGGAGAATTTGATTATAATACCAAAAAAGGGGGAAGGGAGGGCAACCGGGCTTTCAGTGTAAATTTTCAACAAAATTAACAGTGAAAAATTATGTTTGAAAAAAGGGGGATAGCTCCCTCCCTACTGCGTGTCTGTGTTCGAGTAATTTAGCATATATTTTTTACAATACCTTTTTTATTTTAATGCAAAATTTACTTTGACAATTAATTAACGTACATGTATACATTGTATATAAATTATGATTGAAGTTCTAGAATTTACGAAAGTGTTTTTATCTTTTCCGTAAAATTGTACTTGTGTACAGCAACTCTTTTTATTTGAATAGAATTTCAAAAGCATTCCTAGTGTGACTTTTTCACTGAAATATGCATTTAGTCTGCCCGGTCAACTGATTTAGAGTCAAGATTCAAGGGAGCATTAAAACATCGACACAATTAGTACTTATTTACATGCATACTAGTATATATAAAAATCAATAATTAATACTAATGATATAATACAGACCAAGGACAAATGATAACTTACACAGTGGAATTTTTCGGAAGTTGTCGCTAGTGCAATATTCACTGATAGCAAGCATGATTAGAATGTACGGCGTATAAATATTCAATCATTGTAGATTTTTTTTAAAATGTCAAACTGGGGATTGATCCCTGGTGCTTATTATGAAGTCAAAAGGGTATCGGTACTTATCAGTTTCATTTGTAAAAAAAAAAAAAAAAAAAAAAGTTACGAAGGGAATATGATTATTTTGATCTTTTATCAGGCCAATCTTTTGAGCGGATTTCCTATTAATGTTTTGAAGGAAAATTAACTACCTAAAATCTCATTTCAAATAAACCAAAAACAAAAAATAAATAAAATAAAAATAAATAAACAAAAAATAATTATAAAAATCTATAAAATCTAATTTCAAATAAACCAAAAACAAAAAATAATAATAAAATGAATAAATAAATAATGAAAGCACAGATAGTATAAGTAAGTAAATAAGTGATTTATCATGGTGACAATCATAACAACAAAATTACTATTGAAGATTTTAGTATTTTTTGTCTATAAACAAAGAAATCAAAAAAAAGAAGATTTTTTCTAGGCAAAAATATATCTGTAGCGTCAATCCATGTTTGCCCAGTAGTGTAAGAAACTACTTGGTCACTCTTGCAGATTTAAGAAGTGAAAAATAATCCTATATAGAATTTATATTCTCATCTTTTTCTCTCTGTTAAATAGCTTTTATTCAATTGTTATGATCTGCCTACTTATTTGATGCTTATATTATTGTATTGTACAAAATACTTTTCCACTTGTTTTTGTGTATTGTTATTAAAGCACACATATCTAAACAAACCTAATAAAAACGAAACATGTCATTTTAAAATTTTATTTTTATGTAACATGTACCAATAATATAAACATTGAAAATATTATAACTTGCAATAAACAAACAACAATACAACAAAGGTAAATTTATTGCTTATTTATGAAATAATAAACAAAAAATAGTGTTTAGCATACCATGCTATATGTCAAAATATTTGAAATTTGTTGACGCCGTTACAATGCAGCAAAGCAACCCTGCATTACCCAACCACGCGGTAATACAGATCTTTTTGATGCAGGAAATTTTGGAACATTTGGCACAACCATACAAAAACAAGCTCCTAAGCTGAGTGTCTGTTTTTTAAAAATGTTGAAATTTGGAATTCTTAAGTGTTTTGAAAAATGTTGGAATTAATCGAACACTCTCAATGGACGGGTTTTTCTGCATAGAACACTCCCCATCTCTGATCTCCGGCCGCTGTTCTTTGTAATTTGTCTTTCCAACCTCCAACAATGTCATTATAATCTTTGAGAGAAAATTCCTTCAAAGAAATATAATAAAATCAGTACTCTATCTAGAAGAAGGAAGAAATGTACTTAAGACTGAGAAATTTCGAAATGCTCTGAAGATTTACCCCAACAAATTCGTCTTTTATTTTTTCCGTCCTGACCAGTTCCTTTTCCAATGATTTAACAAACAGATCTGTTCTGTCATCTGCCTCTACATTGACGAATCCTGCTTCTTCTAAGACCTAAAAAATATATAATTGGAAATTTGATACCATACTGTCCATTGGGGGGCATTACTATTTACATTATGTAACAAACATTCGTCTCAAGGAAAGAAGTAACATTTCTTATTATTTAACATGCCACGTTTGTGTTCAGAATGACACGTAGTCCGAAATATCTGACGTTTTCCTGGCTTTTTCACGATTTTGATATTTTACATGTTTTCCTGGCGTGTAAAATATCAAAATCGTAATAAAGCCAGGAAAACGTCAGATATTTCGGACTAAACGACACGTAATATTAAATTACTATAAAGTAATTCAAATTACCTTCCCGTACTGCTCTGGAGACAGTAGATTGTACCCTCGCTGCTTCACGTAAGCCTTGAATTGTTCCGAGTGTTCATCTGGACTGCAGGCATAGTCGGAGATCAACAGTCGACCACCGGGTTTTAGGCATCTCTAAAAGGGAGAGAAGACTTCTATTACTTTAATTAACAAGCTTTAGAGCTTTCTAAAATAAAATACTAGTAATCAATACAGAGTTAAAATGAAATAAACTGTTTTTGTCGTTTTCCAAATTCAAATTGTATGTGAATGCAAAATTTCATACTCTATTATATTGTAAAAATCATAAACTACCTACAGCGGTATATATTTTGCACTACCTAAGCAGAATGTGTCATCAGCATCTTTATCAAATATGAAGGAGACGGATTCAAGGTGGTACAAGTTTTTTTTTTAATATGTTTCCGAATTCTTATTGATTTTTCTTCACTGTGTGTTTATACTCATTGCTATTGATTTTCAAATAAAATATGGTTTAAAATAAGCCTTTTTGAAACCAACCTATACATTAACAATTTTTTTTTATATGTTTTTGATAAAATTACGAGATTATGAAAAGGAAGGTCTTAAAAATTCAACCTACTCTGGTAAATTAATATTCCATGATACAATAAACATTTTCGCTCTACTAGAAAGTGAAGTAGACCGTTTGAATGACAAATTATGCAAAAAACTTGGCCTAACAATTCTTTTTAATATCCCCCCCAAATCAAAATAAAACAATGATTCTATCTACACAGAGTAAAATTTCTAGTACCTATAATTTAAGATCAGATTAATAACTTACATAGAATCTTTTAAATAGGTCCAGTTTGTCCTTTATATGGAGAATGGTGTCACGACTGTACACTACATCAAAATAACTGTCGGGGTACATTCTCTTTGTGGCGTCTGCTACCTCGAACTGAACCTGTTACAAAATTTTAAAATTTTGGATTAAAAAAAAAAAACAAATCTGAAACTAGCTTCTTAGTAAAAAAAAATTGCTCAGCGTTTTTTTTTTTTTTTTTTTTTTTTTTTTTTTTTTTTTTTTTTTTTTTTTTTTTTTTTGCATATAAAACAGCATGAATATCTTACGTCAAGCAGCGAGACTCCCATCTCTTCCGCTCGCTCCATACCGATCTTAATCATGTTTGAAGACAGATCTATTGCCACAACCTTCACGCCATATTCCTGTATAAACATTTTTCTTGAGATTATTAATTTGATCCATGAAACAAATTGCAAAGAAATGTCATTATAAATCTTGGAAACCCCATATTGTCTGAGCTTTTAAGTAAAGCAGAAGGAATATTTACTTTGACCATGTAGAATGCACTTCCACCAATTCCACAACCAATGTCCAAAACAACTTCCCCTTTCTTGAGGTTCAATCTATCCACAAACTCCTGCAATTTATTTTTTAAAAATCAAATATCAACTAAAGAAAGGATGGAGTAACGTATCGTATGCATTTACGCAGTTCAAAACCTTATCACTGGTAGAGTACCTTTGTAGTATCCAACCCTCCTGTGCTGACAAAAGTTCTTCCAAAGATTTTCTCGTATCTAAGGATCCCGTTTACTGAATACTGCTTCTCGTCCAGAAATTCTTGGAAGGTCCGGTAACCGTGGTTACTGCTCTTCGTTCGTCGAACTTTTTGTAATAACCAAACTATTTGGTTTTTATTGTTCTTTAGCTAAAAAAAATACACCAAGATATTAATCAAGATGCTCAGATCGTCTCTTTTGAAGACAACGAAAATCTGTCATCCTCTTTGCATTTCCGATTAACAGTAATGATGGCGGAGTTAGGGATGAACCTTGTAGTACGCGTCTACTGATTTTTGTAGCACCAAGTCGTATCCAAACACCTCCTCGTTGTTGTCTGTTGGAATTTCTAAGGAAGTGAACAGAGCCTCGTACATTCCTGGCTCTCGATATTTTGTGGGATTTGCTTTCCTGTCTTTGTTCCCTAAAACAACAGAATAAACCCAAAACTTTACATGAAAAATATCCATTGTATTCTATAAACCATAAATGGCTATAATATTACATGTATATAAATATAAAAGCATTAGAATACCTGATTGATGATAACATGATTCTCGACAGAAAAGGTAGCCGTCCTCTCGAAGCCATGAAAGGGTTTCTTTGATCAAATTCTTCACTTCATCGTCTTGTAGATACATTAACAACCAATTGGAAAAAACGAAATCGGTGCTGAAATACAATACCGGTACTTCTATACAAGAATAAATGATGATTTTCTCTTAATTAAATATTTAATTCGTTTTTCAACATTAGTTTAATCGATTCTTTTTATTTCATAATATTCTTCTATTATAGCTAGGTTATCTTCATACCTCTCTTTTGGAAGCTGTAATTTGGTAACATCAACACATCTATGTTGAACATTCCCAAATTTGGAAGTCTCTTGTTTGTTTTTGTCAATGAATTTGTCCACAAAATCAACCGCTAAAACAGATTTCGCATCCTTGGCTAACTCCTTCGTGAATCGCCTGCAAGAAGCAAAAGTGCGTTTTCTATTTTGTATACGCTCTTTTTAAAAATGTGTTGGAGAAAATTAACAAAATCAGACATTAGCGATTATAAAGATTCTGAAATGATAGATAAATGTTGGAAGTTACCCAGTATACAACTACTCCGTAAAAAATAATGTAAAGATATTGTGTAAGCGTCGCATAACTTTAAGTACACCAAATCATTATCTTTTCAAATATTTTAAATTGGTCACAGTAACTGCCCTGTACTTCAAACTGTCCCACTTCATCAACCTCTGATCACGACTTTACTGACCAATAGCCCTAGTTACTGATGATAAAACTGTGTCAACATGTAGGTAAGTGGATATAGCATATGCAGTGACCTATCTAGACACGTAGCATCGTTTTTATTTTAATGCGGAGCGTTAAGGAAAATCCCCCCTCCCAAAAAGAATAGGAAGTTTAAAAAACTCATAATTCTTAAATTGGGGAAGGGGTAGGAAGTTTTAGATTTATACTCTCATAATCAAGAGATTTCTGTACATACAATATTAAACTGTAAGTGGCAGGGCTCGTCCATGCTGCAACAGCTAAAGACTTTTTAGAAAAAAAGGAGACCCCCTTTACGGCTCCGCTATCATCGTCTAAATAAAAGACAGTCTACATACTCTAAAATTTTAAATCCCCGTCAAGGACCTGAATGGGACAAGGGAAAGGGTTCTTAGTGATCCTTTATAACATGAACACTAATCTCTTTTATTGAAAATTAAAATATTTCAAATTCTACTTCATCAATTTCTTCCTCATGACAGTAAGAACTGGGGGAGGGGGGAGGGGGATAATTTCCCCTATATGTAGTATACTATAGAGAACATGGCTATTTTATGCTTGTAGCCCCTCAATAGTCAATAATAGCGTCTGATGACCCTTTTTAAATTTTGCTTGTCAATGTTTTTGCTTGATATTGCCACCCCTACCCCAAAGTGAAAAGTTTGGTTGTGCCCTTCCCCCCCCCCCCCCCCCACACACACACACACACCACCACCACCACCACCACCTCCAAACTGAAATTGCTTCCTACGAATCTGTTCCTTGAATGTAATTAACACAATTGATTTCATAGAAAAGTATAAATATATACAGTGTAAAATATGACATTTTATTCTTACCCTATTCCGGCCCCAAGTTCCACCACATCTTTCCCGGACACGTTTGGGATGTAGGACAGAATTTCCGGAAGTTCTTCCTCTGTCATGGTAGCGGCATTGTTATCTAGCATCATCTCTTCGATAGACCCGTCCTTAGAATGATCTTGCCAGAACTCCATCATAGCAGTCCGAACTTCTGGAATGTCAAGACAAAATAGCTTGAGAATTTCTCTTGATATGACCAGTTGAACACGTATAAATTTGAGGAATAAAAATTTCATGAGGGTTTAAACTCGGATAAAGCAACCAAAAGAGTTTATAATACATTTAATTTTTTGGTAATTTTCAACAAATTTTAATCATTCAATTTAAATTTGGGTACGTGGCAAATATGGAAGGAGGTCATGTCATTAGGTCTTTTTTTTTAATCCATTCATTTGGTGAATATTTAAGACGCAGATCATCGTCCAACGTAAAAAAAAAAGGGGGGGATAAAAGCATAAAATTCAGGTGATGGGGCAACATAAATCAGGAGGATACATTCATAACAAATAAGGACCTACAAAAGGTGGTTCAAGCATGTTTGTCTCTGCAATGGAAAAAAAGAGGGAGAAACGAGTTTGAACATAACATCACCTTCTAAATAAATTATCAAAATTTTCACCGTCTTAAAAAAAATTATCATAATTTTACCGAACACTGTAAAGTATGTACGACATACTTTGCTGAATTAAATATGAACAAGACTTAAAATAAACACGGCATACTTTATTTTGAGGCTACGGAAATAGAAAGCACACAAGAAAAGGTGAGAACTACATTTTTAAATTTCAATTATAATTCTTTTTTTTTTACTTAGTTGTAGACTGATGAATATTTATCAATGCCGCTACATGTAAAATAAAATATAATGTAGCCCATAAAAAACTAATTTACATTCCTAATGTGCTTACCAGACCAACTCGACCCTGTGTCCACAAGAGGATTGATCGACTTCAGTGAGGGTTTAAATGACACAAGGGGTTTTATACTATTCGAGGTCCGTTTGCATTGATTTCAGTGTCACATACGTTATTCAGCATTTGAATATTTAATATTTAAATAGATAACGTAAATAAATGCATCTATGGTATTTGATACTAGATTTTATAAATACTTTATAAGAAATATCACAATAAAATGAAAAGTATGTTAATAAATTTGAAATGTAATGCAAATAATAGGATTAATAATTAAGTCTAATTACATTCGACCCATCGCATTATCACTAAACTTGAAATTGCACTTACCATTTAAGACAGGCATGTTTGAAATATATATTCATGTCGCAAAATGATGTTTCGAACTTCACTTATATACGTACCTTGGAGACTGGAATCAACCACGTGACTTTATATTTGTCCGATATTGTTTCTTTGTTAAATCTATATTTAAATATACAAACTAAGTTTCGAAGTAGAATTGTAGTAATTTTTTCCAAGTTCAACAGTTTATTTTATTGCTTCAATTTATCAACTATTAAAATTTCGAGAGGAAAAACATCTTTTTATTGAAAATTTATAGAGAAAAAATTTAAGCTTTATGAATATTCATGAAATTCAATTTGTTGGAAGTAAGCTGTGAAGTGTAAAGGTGTCAAGGCTACTGTGAGGGAAAATTACTGACACATAAACACTCTGACCCAACACTCTAGAAAAAAAGAAACATACCTGAATCAATCGAAAGAAACGCATTTTCCTGCAATATATTTTGTCTTTTTTATGAAAAAAAAATGTATATAGCAATAAGAATTAACACGGGTGAGTACGTAACTCCCTATTTGGAAAATGTATTAACGAAATTGTCATAATTTTTATGTAACAGTCCGCTGTTTTGTGTAAATAAAAAATGCATCAGTGTAAAAAAATAAATTACCTATTTTAATTTCTTTTTGAGTGTTGTACATGTATATAGATCACATATTTTCATTTATGTGCAAAAAAAAAAAGAAAAAGAAAAAAGCTGAATCAGCAAGTGGAGGATTGAATCGTACGATTATACACTATACAGACACACAGGTGATACGTAATTCTTTTGATCATGCACTTATCTAGATCCCCGGTCATGTTACACAGATTCCCATTACTGTGTTTATAACATTGACTTTACTCTCACTGAACCATTAATAAATCACTTCTGATGATTATTTTGTCTTATTCTGAATATGACAAGAAAACAATGATATTTTTGTCTTATGAACAGATAAAAGCTATAGAAGTATGCAATATTGAAGCCTCACCAATCCACGACATCTGGACTTCACTTTCTTGACCATTCCACCATTGTCTGTCTCACTCCAGCATCTGAGAAAAATCCACACAAGCAATGTAACTGTAAATCAGAAATCAATAAAGTAATGCACGTGGCTTGTGTTCGGAAACAATAAGGACTCATTACATGCGTACATATATAGGCATTCCTTTCCACAATTAACATTCCATTAATGATACTAAACGATAATACTTGAAAAGAAAAAAAAAGATAAATATGATATTGTCGGAAGTGTTTTTTCAACGGTACAATGAGTACAACACAGGTGTTACATGTATAGACAGTGGCGGATCCAGAATTCTTGAAAAGGGGAAGAGGGGGAGGGCAACGAGTAAAAGGTCTGTGGACATACAATAAATGCAATATCTAACCAAATAATTTTTTAATCTTAATATATGATATATTTTGGTCACAAATGGGGGGGGGAAGCCCCCTCTTAATCCGCCAGTGTAAGGCATTGGCTTCATTTTATTCGAAAATGTTTAAAGTTTAAATAATTTGGGCCAGCAGTGCGATCCTATAATAGATGTAGATTTTTGTCTCTGGTTCTATATAAAAACAAGGTACAGTATTGTAAACGTTGATCTTAATAACAACGAAGAATTAAAGTCTGGGTCAATTAATATATTGTATATTCCATCATATGTACAGGTCATGTCATGTGTAGTTCAAATATATGGTATATGAACCTGATCTATCCTGATCCTTTCTCAGTCAGTCATAACTGTTTAGTATATTGTCCATAAGTCCATAATGTCTGGTATACAAATTGTCAGTAAATTATTTAGGAATTTTGGAGTCAGAAAAAATACACTTCTCACTCTAAGGATCTTTTTGAATGTCTAAAAAATTACTACAATAGTGAGCTTCTCACCAGAGTAGCCAATCAAATACCTGGGTTCACCCATGCATGAATAGCATGCTTGACTTAATGGGAAATACTATGGGAAAGCCTTAGTGTAATAAATATATACAAACGCTCTTACTTCATACTATTTAAAGTTTGGAAATACATTATGGACAAAATTAAAACAATAAGTCAATGCTGTATTTTTATTAAATAATATCTTTATTGATAAAAACACGCGGTCACATTCTTCCCCTGCTGCGAAAAATGTTGTCCCCAACATTCAGCTTTCAATCGGTTAACTACAAAGAAAGAATGTATGTAGTCATAAAATCAGAATAAAATATTAATGTATTTCAAGCATAGAACTATAACTATCATGGACTTATGACTGATTACTTATCTAATATGACATTTATCATGGCTTTAGATAGATCCTTCTTGTCAATTCCTTCAAATATTTCTGTACTTGCCAGTGCTAATAAAGTGTCTATTTTGTTCTTCCATTCTGGTTGTTGGCTGTTTGTTGTTACTTGATTATTGATGGTAAATTTTCCGGTGGTCATCCACCTTGGTCTTTTTCTGGGTCTCAGTGGTCTTGGTGGTCTAGTTGGTGCAGTTGCGCCTTCTGCTTCAGTCTCTGTGTTTTCCGTATCACTCATTTCTTATTGGTCACTACCGGTAGTGTCTCTTTTGGTTCAGTATGATGAACTTCTCCTTGGTCTGTCTAATCAGTGGTACCTTCAATCTCTTGTACTCTGTCTTCATCAATTGTACTATGCTCGAGCTGTACGCCTTCTGTATCATTTGACATGTGACCTTGTCTCTGTTTTCCTTCTACAGTAGAACTGTCTGTTCTCTGGTCTCTTTGTGATTCCTGGATATCAGTTGTACTGGTGTCGTGATTTACAACCACTACTGATTCCGTCACAAATTCATCTTCTGACTCACTGCTGTCACTCTCTGTTTGTTGTTTCTGTTGTTTAAAAGCTCTGGTTTTGACTCGACGCGGTGCTGGTTTCGGCTTCGACAAATCCTGCTCTGTGGTGTCGATGTTCTGGAATGGTAACAGTAAGTTTATATGTAATGTTCTTCTTCTTTCGCTATTACTAACAATGAATACTGGAATGGCTGGATTAGGTTGTTCTATAACATCATATGGTGTTTCCTCCCATTTAACTGATAGTTTATGCTTCCCTTCAAATGTTACTTTCTTCACTAAAACTTTATCTCCTGTCTTATTTCTGTGTGTCTTGCCTTTAAGTCATATTGATGTTTCTGTTGAGACTTTTCGATGAATTCCTCAGCAACTCGATATGATTCTTTTAAATTAGCTTTTAGGTTTTCGATATACTGATCCATTGTGTTTTCTTGTGTTTCTGGTAGGCCAAAAATAATATCTGCTGGTAATTTTGGTTCTCTGCCAAACATTAAATAGAATGGTGAAAATCCTGTAGAGTCTTGTCTTGTTGAATTGTGGGCATGTACTATTGTTGAGATGTAAGTTTTCCAGTCTGCTTTTTGAGTTGTTTCCAGGGTTCCTAACATTTTCAGTAAAGTCCTGTTGAAACGTTCACATATACCGTTCCCCATTGGATGATATGGTGTTGTTCTGCTTTTCTTGATGTCCAAAATTTTACAAAGTTCCGAAATGATTTGAGATTCAAATTGAGGTCCCTGGTCGCTATGAATTTTGTGTGGAATTCCGTAATGAAGTATGAAATTTCTAAATAAAGTCTCTGCAGTAGTTTTGGCAGTTTGATTTTTGGTTGGAATAGCTTGAGCAAATTTAGTGAAGTGGTCAGTAATTACGAGTATGCTATTATATCCTCCTTTTGATGTCTCTAGGGTAAGATAATCCATGCACAGAATTTCTAATGGGTGGTGTGATGTTATATTCACCAGTGGTGCTCTCTATATGTTGTTGATTTTCTTTAAATGTATCTTTTACAGTTCTTAATGTAATTCTCAATGTCATTTCCCATACTTCTCCAGTAAAATCTGTCCCTTATTAGAGCATTGGTCTTGTCTCTGCCTGGATGACCCATATTTGTATGCAGTAATTTCAATGCCAGCTGGGATTTCAATTAATTTCAATTACAGCTGGGATGGAAAAGTTGGGCGTCAGCGAGGGCAACAGCCAAAGACAGAGACAGGTGGAAGAAGTGTATCGGGGCCTTATGTGCCAGCGGGCACGAAGAGGATAGGTGAGGTGTGAGGTAATTTCAATGCCAGACTGGTGCACGAGTGAGTAAAATAGTTTGTACTTTCTTCCTGTTGTTTTCAGTTGTTTGTTTGACTAAAATGCCGTCTTGGATCTTGAGTTTTTCAAAATTTCTGTGGAAAAACAGATGGTCTTTATAGTTTGACATAGGAAGTTGGAATTTCTGTGGTTTGGTCTTATTTCTTACATGATTGTACCAAAATCTGATGACTGTGTCTCTACATTGCTGTTGTTTGATGTTGATTTCTGTATGGTCTGGCAGTGTTGGTAAGTTACTATCTATGATCTCTGTGGAAACGGAAATGGATTCTATTAATGAAACTTGATTCATATTTGAGATAGCTTTGATGGTGTCTGTTGGTATTCTTGATAATCCATCAGCATCGGCATTTTGGGATCCTGGACGGTAATAGATATCGAAATTAAAATTGGACAATGCTGCAATCCAGCGTTGGCTGGTGGCATCCAGTTTGGCTGATGACAACACATAGGTTAATGGATTATCGTCAGTTATCACGATGAATTTGTTCCCAAAAATATAGTCATAAAATATCTCGTTTATGGCCCATTTAACAGCTAAGAATTCAAGTTTGTGTACTGGATAATTCCTTTCCGATTTTGATAATCCTCTGCTGGCATAAGCAATTACTCTCTTGGTGTTGTCTTGAGTTTGGTATAGCACAGCACCTAAACTGGTAGTTGACGCATCAGTGTGTAATTCGAATGGTAATGAGAAGTCGGGGTAACCCACGTTGGGCGCCATTTGTAAACGTTGATTTTAATAACAACGAAGAATTAAAGTCTGGGTTCAATTAATATATTGTATATTCCATCATATGTACAGGTCATGTCATGTGTAGTTCAAATATATGGTATATGAACCTGATCTTTCCTGATCCTTTCTCAGTCAGTCATAACTGTTTAGTATATATTGTCCATAAGTCCATAATGTCTGGTATACAAATTGTCAGTAAATTATTTAGGAATTTTGGAGTCAGAAAAAATACACTTCTCACTCTAAGGATCTTTTTTGAATGTCTAAAAAATTACTACAATAGTGAGCTTCTCACCAGAGTAGCCAATCAAATACCTGGGTTCACCCATGCATGAATAGCATGCTTGACTTAATGGGAAATACTATGGGAAAGCCTTAGTGTAATAAATATATACAAACGCTCTTACTTCATACTATTTAAAGTATGGAAATACATTATGGACAAAATTAAATCAATAAGACATTGCTGTATTTTTATTAAATAATATCTTTATTGATAAGAACACGCGGTCACAGTATATAATTTGAAAAGAGAACAATTTCTCACTAAATATAGACATTTACGTGTTTTACTTGCACAAAACTGTTCTCGGATTTTTCGATATAAATATTCAGATATTAAAATAAATAGTCTTATATAATATGACTTATCATAACTTAACACATTAGTATTCGTTATTTTACATTTTCCTGCAAAGACCTTTTCACAACAGCGTTCTTTTGATTTTTTTCATTTCAAACCTCACATGTGAATTGAAATTCAAAATTTGAACATATATTCAGCCCTCTCCCCCAATTCTTGCAAACTATTTATTGAGAATGAAAAACATTCTTTACTTTATTATATGCTATAGTAAAGATCAATGTAGATTACAATATTGCAATATATTTAATGTTCAATGTTACATATATGTAAGGAAAAACCTATAATCAACATTATTAACCCTCTTATTAAAGCCCCGTTCACGTGCTCCTATTTACACACGGTGAGCAAATTTTACATATAGATATGCAACCTACGTGAGTATTTTTACTCCTAGTGCAAAAGAAGATGGGTGAACAAGGCGGGCGAAGTGCCTATAGTGCGACAAACATGAAGTGAAAAATAAAATCTCAATTATATCCAAAATTTCTTTGATATTTCATCTAAAATTAAAGTATACTTTATGTAAAATCTCTATAATTTACAAAAATCTCACAAAGGCTGAAATTATTTGCCTATGAAATACCATACACAGACTAAAGAGGACAAAAAGAGTCATTTTCTCACACTTTAACAAAATTTTTCGATATGAGTGGGTCTTCTTTCCATTTTTTTGAAAGTTAATCCTAAAAGTTTGCATAAAAATATGCATTTTTGGTTTACAAAAAAATGGAGCAAAGACCCACTATACATTAAAAGTACGCTTTTATGACAAAGCATTCGCATCTTTCCGAAAAATACTTGAAGTCCATTAAGTCAAGGGTCATATCACAAACATGATTTAAATGCAACTATTCATCAGGTGCTGTGTAGCGTAGTGGGTAGCGTGTTAGTCTCAAAGCAATATACTGCGGATTTTTATTGTTAGGGGTTCGAATCCCACGAATACCATTTTATTTTTGTAATAAAAGAATAATTTTTCCGAGATTTTTTTTCTCAGAAAAGTTTTGATGATCATAATTTCATAAATTTCAACAATGAGAACTTTACTTTAAATACTTAATTCACAATTTGAATATGATTTTTTTTTTGATATCTGAAGCTATAGGCATTCTGCACGCCTTGTTCACCCATCTTCAAAACATCTAGTTAGATTAGGTGCAAATTAACTTTTACATATGAGTAATTTTACTCCAGGTGTTCTATTTTCAGTCATGTGAACGCGTATGAATATTTACACAAGGATAGAAATATTGACATTGTCTAGAAAATATATAGCATCATCGATTTCATTAAATATATGCATCTTTTTTTTTTTTAATTTTAGAAAGAACAGTGCCAATCTGGTGTCGAATTATTCAATAGATTTAAGCAAGAATTAAATTGAATTATACTTGTTTTTCCCCTGTCCGCTGATACAGTTCCCCTTTCTTGTTCAAATTCTACTTAGAATGATATTTGGACTTATTTACTACTCTTTCTATTTCTACAATTACATTTTGCCATTTTTTAAGGAAATGATGCTACATGTATGTTTGATAGACAATTCTAGTATTTGCATACGATCGGGTGGCATACGCGTTCACGTCTAAAAATACACAAGGAGTAATTTTACTCATATGTTAAAGTTAATTTGAATCTAGTCTGACTAAATGTAAATTAGCACTAGGAGTAAAATTCTCAGTGTGCAAATCTTGATCCCCCTCCCCGTTTACACGTGCCAATTTAAACTTGATCCGGATGCAAAATGTAAAGTATGTAAATGTGTGCAAGTAATCAGGGCTTTAGGTGACATTTAAATATTTTTGGTCGTCATGATGAAAGTTGAAAAGGCATTTTAAGGGCTGTGGAATCAAAACCTAGGAGTCACCCCCCCCCCCCTTCCCCCCAGCTTCTTCAAGAATATAGAAATGAAGCTTTTATTTACATCCCCTAATCCTTAAATCTTTTTTTTAAGACCCATTATTTATGTTGAATTTGACAATTTTTAGAGAGGATGCAAGTGCATCTGAAACATAATCCTCCATCGTGTTCATGTTCTTCTTCGTCCTATAACTATAGTCTTGCTGGGCACGTTATTACTGGTGACGTAAATATAGTTAATAATGAGGATCTTAGATCACTAATTTTAAAAGGTCCTAAATTTAGGGAACCCAGATCCTTCAACTGGCGTAAGAATTTCATAAATATTATGGATTCTGTAGAGGACTACGCCAGGCGATGGGCCAGACATGAAAAAGAAGACCTTGACACTTTGTCAGAATGGATTAAATGTATCAGATGTATGTTAAAATCACGCATTAAAAGATTGAGAGGCAATATGAAAACCATCTATCCTTCTGTATTCAATAATCCAGAAGTGAAAATAGAATTAGATAGATTACATGATCAGTACGTACTGGTTCCTGCTGACAAAGCAGGTAACAACATTGTCTTTGTTTGTAAGGCTCATTATATTAAATGTATTTTAGAGGAACTTGGATTTAATTCAACAAGTGGTAATCCAACTTATACTCATAGTTCCCTTTCTAAGGAAGAAATTCTTCAAAATCATATGTCAGTTTTGAATATTTTTAATATTCCAAACAACCAAAATGAATTCGAATTACCATATTTATATTGGATTCCGAAACTTCATAAAAATCCTTACAAACAAAGATACATAGCGGGTTCCAGTAAATGTTCAACCAAGCCTCTATCTTTACTCCTCACTAAGATATTAACAGTGGTGAAGGAGAAACTTCAAGAGTACTGTGCAACAATATATTCGAGAAGTGGTGTAAATCAGATGTGGATACTTAAAAATTCCAAGGAACTTTCGGAAAATTTGAAATCACAAGATTTTACCAAAATCAACAGCTTAAAATTTTACGACTTTTCAACTTTATACACAACCATTCCCCACGATAAATTAAAGTCCAGGCTTTTTGATATCATTGACAGCTGCTTTTTCAATAAAAATGGAACTCGTAAATATACTTACCTTGTCATTGGTCATTTGCAAAATTATTTTGTTAAAAAACATTCTGATTGTACACACAAGTACTCTGAAGTTGACATTAAAAAGATGCTTGAGTTTCTGATTGACAATATCTATGTGGTTTTTGGAGACCAGGTCTTCCAACAATCTATTGGAATTTCTATGGGTACCAATTGCACCCCGTTATTAGCAGACCTTTTTTGTATTCATATGAAGCAGAATTTGTCCAAAAACTTGTACGTGAAAAGAAGAAATCACTTGCTGTGGCGTTCAACTCGACATTTAGATATATCGACGACGTATTGTCAATTAACAATGGCTATTTTCATTCTTATGTCGATACGATATATCCTGGTGAACTTGAGATAAAAGATACCACAGAGTCCGACACATCTGTTTCATATTTGGATATTTTACTTGAAAAAGACATTAATGGTAATTTAACAACCAAGCTTTATGATAAATGTGATGACTTTAACTTTTCAATCGTCAACTTCCCTTACTTATGCAGCAATATACCTTCATCACCTGCATACGGGGTATATATCTCTCAGTTGATTCGATACGCAAGAGCATGCTCTACGTATGTACATTTTCTAAAACGAGGTAAATTATTGACAAATAAGTTGATGAAACAAGAATATCAGCTGTCTCGTCTAAAGTCATCATTTCGTAAGTTCTATGGTCGATACAATGACCTTGTCAGTAAATACAATTTATCATTGAGTCAAATGCTGCCTGACGTTTTTCATACTAATTGTTAGGCCATTATTTACACACTGAATTGTCGACGGATTTTTCCGTTATTTCCCGATCATGACAAGGAGCACACGGCGGGTGTGACCGGTCGGCAGGGGATGCTCACTCCTCCATGGCACCTGATCCCACCTCTGATGTTTGGAGGTCCGTGTTTGCTCTGCTCCTATTTTGTATTGTATAATGGACTTTTGAGCTTGAATACTGTTCGTTATCTCCATATATTTCATTCTACCCATATATCTCGACTTGGTATAATAAAGATCGGGATCGATATTCGTGAAACATAGTTCCCGCGGATTTCAAGATGGAGTCTGTTGAGGGGGGAACAATCTCATGGATCAAACCAACTGAAAATAAACTCATCAAAGTAACAAAATGGAGAGTAAAACTTGGATCAAAGGTTGGGAAAGGAGCCTTACTTTGTCTATATGAGACAGAAGACACTAAAAATCTGAAGCTGAAATCAAACATGGTGGGCACAGTTTTGGAAATGAAACAAGAATTTATTCCTGGAAGGTACTATAAGCAAGAGACACTGACAGTGATAGAAAGGCATATAAACTTTTAGTTGATGATGTATCTAAATATCTGTTTGTTGATTTGCTGTGAATTATATCTAACATGATTGATGAATATCATATAGCTTTATGTTCATCAGCTGTGTTTCTAAAATTGTAATGAAATTTTAATTTCAGTGAAGGCTTGGTAAAAATGGAGTCTTGTACACATCCCACTGTGATGAAGGATATGTGTGCAGACTGTGGAGCTGATTTAAGACAGTAATTATTAGTTTTCATAACCCCCTACCTTTTTTCTACAGCTGTAGTGTTTATAAGATGTGTTAAATTATGAATGATTTATAGTGTTTACATTTCATCATAAAAAATGCTGCAAAAGTTAGTGTGACATATTGCTAAAAATTGAAGATAATTATTGTTAAGGTTGTAATTTCTTGGCAGGGAGGCAGGAATTGCTGGTAACAGGAAAGAACCAGTCAGTGCTTCTGTTGCCATGGTACACAACATTCCAGAGCTTATAGTGAGCGAGAAGGTAAAACTGTACTGATAAACAGTATTTTTATTCTAAGAGTTTTCACACAACATTAAAAAAGTCCTTTTGTTGTACATGAAATACCTTAAATGCATTATAGATGCCCATATACAATAAAACTCATTTTGTACAAGCAAATTAATGGATATAGTGAAGATTTTTGGGGTCCCTGGCAACATTCTTAACAATTCCTTTTAAAATTTTACTGTTATTAACTTGGATTTAACAAATTAACTGATATAGGGAGTTGATTTTGTGTTCTGTATAGATTAATAATAATAATTGACATTTTTAATAGTAAATTTTTTTAAGGTCCTAAAATTTAAAAAATATTAAACTGACATTATTTTTTGTAAGTAATTTTATTGCAGAAAACTGAAGTCTGCAAGGCAGATTTTGTATATCATACTTTAATGCACATATTCTGTAGTTTTAAGATGGAAAACGTGTCAAAGAATAGAATTCAATCCGATGATGATTCCTCTCACCCAATTTAAAGATTTTCCAATATAATACATAGTTATAATATTCGTGAGAAATGTCTTGCTTTGTTTTGTCAGCAAGCAATGGAGCTTGGAAAAATGGATGAAGAGAGACTGTTGAGAACTAGGAAACTTGTGTTACTTGTGGATCTTGACCAAACCTTGATTCACACCACCAATGACAACATTCCTCCCAACCTTAAGGTTAGAAATGTCAATCAATCAATCTTTGTGTATGTTATTTTCAAACTTTTACCTTCATTCCAAGAAGTGCAAATTTGTTTACGTATTATAATTTGAAACCAGTTTTTATGTGATTAAGGTTCATTTATAGAAACATGATTGCAATAGTTCAAAATGTATACCTGGTGCACAAAATGAAAATTAGATCTACACCAATTGGTTACAAATTATGCATAAATGTATTGTTTCTTTATTTATAAATTGATTATTTGTAGGGGGTTTATCATTTTCAACTTTCTCATGGAAATATGATGCCTTGGTATCACACTCGTATTCGTCCAATGGCAGACAGGTTCCTGGAGAACATCTCTAAACTGTATGAACTGCACATCTGTACATTTGGATCTCGCATGTATGCTCACATCATTGCCAAATTCTTAGATCCAGATGGGAAATATTTCTCACACAGAATTCTATCTAGGGATGAATGCTTCAATCAGAATTCAAAAATGGCTAACCTAAAGTAAGAGTTATTGTATAGGCTGTTTGATATAATATATTTGTATATATGTTGTAATGAAAATCAGGATACTTTACGATGTGCATGATACTTTACTATTCATAACTAGTTGTTCATACATGTATATGTATGAAGCAACAAGGTAGTTTCCACAAAAACTAATTTGGCACTCGGATCACAAGAGAGTTTTTTTTTTGTTCTACCTATGTAATAGATTTATTCTGAAAATAGAGTTATGGCCCTTTACATGATTATTTGTAACACTTGATTTCAGAACTTACAGACAATTGAATAAAACTTATTGTCAGATATCAAATGTTTTGCCTCTTGGTAATATTAACCTATCTTCATTACCCAGAGCTCTCTTTCCCTGTGGGGACTCCATGGTATGCATCATTGATGATAGAGAGGATGTGTGGAATTACTCCCCAAACTTAATCCATGTGAAGCCCTACCGCTTCTTCCAAGGCACTGCAGACATAAATGCCCCACCAGGACTGGATAAAAAGGAACACGATAAAGAACCACTAACTCACAAAGTACACATTATCTCCAGATCCAACAGCAAAGAGGACAACAATGAGAAAAAGGAGGGGATGGGGGGAGAAACTGAAGAGAAAGGGGGAGGGAAAAGTGGACAGACAGAAAATGGTGAGGCAGCTAAAACAGATGCAGAAGAAACTGATAGAAAGTGTGAAAAAGACAATGAGAAAAAATCGTCAGATGTTAACAGGAAGGAAGAGAGTAAAGATGTTGAAAGTGCAGAAGAAACAAATAAAGACTGTGGAAAAGAGACAAATTCTGTGAAAAATAAGGAGGAAAGTATGGAGTGTGAAAGGACTGTACAATCAAATTCAGAAGCCACAAAAGCAGTTACATGTAATACAGAAAAATCAGATATTGAAAAGAATGGAAAAGGTAAGGAAACTAAAGAAAAGGAAGAGGACAGAGAGAAGGAAGAAGATGGAAAGACAGAGGATGTGGAAATTGAGTGGGATGATGATGATGACTATTTATTGTACTTAGAGGAAATCCTGACCACTGTTCATAAAGCATTTTATGATATGTATGATCAGCTCAAATTAAAGGGAGAGAATGCAGAAAAACCTGATATGAAAAATATCTTACCTTATGTTAAAAGAAAAGTGCTTAAAGGAAGAAATATTTTATTTAGTGGTGTTTTCCCTATGAGTGTTCCTTTAGAGAAAAGTAGGGCCTACCATGTGGCTAAAATGCTTGGTGCAAATGTTCATACAGACTTCATACCTCGAGCAAAAGATGGTTCAAATAAATCCGACTACACAACTCATGTAGTTGCAGCTAGACTTGGAACTGTTAAGGTCAAAATGGCCCAAAAGCATAAATATGTGAAATTAGTGAATCCTCAGTGGTTGTGGGCATGTGCAGAAAGAATGCAGCATGTGGATGAGAGGCTTTATCCACTTAATGACTCCACTTCTGGTAATGCTTATTGTGAAAGTCCTGATCCATCACGGCTAAACAGAAAACGCAAAAATGAAGAGGAATCAGACTCAGGAAAACGACCTAGAAAACATGATGATGGTGACAAAATTCCTCCCCAAGAAGAAATGGAGGCATCAGAGAAGGTTGAAAAAGATGAGGAAGAGGATGACATGAAGGTGAAATCAGCAGCCAGAATCACCTCTGCTCGCTTCTCCACCAGCTATAACCCAATGTTAGCCTTCTCAGATGAAGATTTGGAATGTATGGATAAGGAAGTGGAGGACTTGATGGATGAAGAGGGTGATGAATCCGAGGAAGATGACATTGACCGAAATGAGAGGATCCGATTGTCTGTACTAAGCAGTGGGGATGATGACAACTCCAGTAGTGGAGAGAGCATGTCTGGGGATCTCCCCAGAGGGTGGAATCTGAAAAAGAGGCACAGGTCATCAAAGTCAGGGGACAGTAGCTCTGATAATGAGGAAAATGAGAAGCACAGAGATGAGGAGAGTGAAAATGAACTAGAAAAGTATGAAAAAACTGTGGCAGCTTTTGCACCAGATACTGAATCTGAAACACAAGATTCTTTTGCAGAATCTGTAGGCTCTGTTGATGATGAAATGGCAGAGGCTATTGAAAGAGAATTTCTGGCCAATTGATTGTTAAATATTTTAGTCAGTTATTAATGTTTAAATAAATTTGTTACACATTTTTCCTGTTCATTCTCATAATGATGAAGAGAGGTACATGTACAGTAAAACATAGTTATAGTGAAGTCTTGGAGACCTGTGAATTTCATTTGCTATATCCGTAATTCGTTATATCTGTATAATGAATTTTGTTAAAGTATATAAAACAAATTCGCAATACAATTTTTTTTTTTTCAAGTAAGTCTTCCAAACATGTTCAGAGATGTATTTAATACAAAACTTATCTTGGGGAACTTAAGTTTT